GTTTGATGCCAAAAAAAAACATCAACAAACCATTTGAAATCATGTTGCAATCATAACCAACAATCATTTGGCAATATTTGGCAGAGTTACCGCAATGATAACCATCATTCCAGTAATGTTGCGCAGTGAGGTCGCAACATAGTTTACCCAGAGGTTGTCCCTATTTTATCCCCATTGCCCCAACTATTCCCCATCAGATACCCCATCAGAAACCAGCCAGATGCCATTGGGTTTTTCACCAACCAGTCAAATAACCATTCAAAAAAACCCTTTTTGTTTCCACGCGATATCATCACAAAGACCCCTTCATCAAATTCTTTGAGATCACTTAGATCAAGTTACCCGAACATAGCTACGGAACATGGCCCATTTAGTTCGATGATTTACCATGTTTTCTCCTTTAAAAAGGGGTAAAATCACCAGATCGCTACGTAGCTCTGTGAGTTTAGAGGGAAATTTCCCATGAAATGAGCCAACATAGAGTGATCAAATAGAGAACCAATAGATGATCAAAAAAAATATAGAGAACCAATAGATGACCAATAGGAGTAATTAGTAATCAGTAAACCAAAGCCATCATAGAGGGATCAACCAATAGATCAACCATAGAGTGATCAAAGCCAGATGAATCAACCCTCTGAATAATATTGAATAATTATATATCTAGGCAAATTATAATAATTCCTAACCTGAATTAAGGCCATTTGGGGATGATTCCCCTTACTAACTATGAATTCCAGTGAGGTCGCAGTGAGGTCGTTATAATTTACCCAGATATGATATATGTTTCATCAACCAATCGTGTTATCTTATAACCTCATCAACCAATCACTGATCTAAGCCTCTAAGCCATCGGTCGGATCAACACGGGAGCAGTGGCTGCGATCCACCCCTGTTGGTTGATGATTAGTTCGGGGATGATACTAGCCAACATATTGGGGATTATAGTAATGGGGGTAAACCAATGCCATAAACCATCATAAACCACCAAAAAAACCTGGGAATGGTAAATTTATACCACCAACCAAAAAATGGTGATGACATGTGATGACTGGGGGGTGGTAAAAAGTATTCACTTATTCTTTTACCCACATTAATCCAAGAACGGGGAGTCCCTATGAACCAACCCAGGAACTCGATCACCTCGCATCGCTCAGGCCTTCAGTTCTCGGCACTCCTCTTGGAGACGAAGCATCTGTTCCTGGTGTCGGCGTTGACGAAATGGGGATCCTTGGGGTATGTCTATCGAGCCACTAAAGATAGTGTTGTTGATTGGTCATGATAGGGTATAGTTGATTGGTCATGAAAATTGGTTTGATCTTGATTTACTAACAATGGAATCTTGATAATCCATATCATTATCCATGGTTATCATCTTTACTAACTGGTTTCTTAGGAATTATGACAATCCATAGGGACACCTATCAACCAGTACAATGAGATAGGATAGGATGGTATTTTTCATGGCATGGCCCACTTGAATATTCCTTGTGGGATTTCATCACCCCATGTTTGAATGGGCTGCTGTGATCTTCAGCGGCCAGGGATACCCTGCAACTCTGCTGAGGCTTTACCAAGGCTGGCCATTTTACCAAGGCTGGCCATTTTACCAAGGCTGGCCTTCTATACAGAATCATTTCGTCCATGTTTTTTTGCGAAAAAACACTAACATACACAATCACGGTTTACCCAGAACGACAAGTGGTAGATGGCCTAAGGTAGTTTAGTTTTATCAAGTTTTAGTATGGTTTAGCTAGCAAAAAGCAAGTGCAACTGGTTGTTGGTTGAGCCAACCATCACGAAAAATAGGGGAGATTTGAAACAAACTTAATACTCATTTTTGGAAACAACATTGTAGCGTGCAAAAAAAGGATTACATGTGGCATTCAGCATTACAATGGTGTTTTGTGGTTCCAACTATATATATCTGTCGTACAAAAGTACAATGGTGCCGTTGAGAGTCGACCAGAGCAGACATGGAATGGCTCGGATATGCTCGGATTATATAATTTATATATATATAATTATATACTCTTTGGTGGTACACCTACCCCTCTGAAAAATATGAGTTCGTCAGTTGGGATGATTATTCCCAATATATGGGAACATGAAAAAAAAACTACCGGTCTGCAAGTCCCAGCCAAACTCATTCATCTGGGAAAATAAAATTCATGTTCCAAACCACCAACCAGATAAAGAAAGATGCCCTGGATGGCGGACAGAGTAATGGAAGGGCTTCTGGTGAGACCTGTCTTATCCTCTGTGGGTTAGCTACGCACATTGATTTCACCAGCGTTCACTTCCTGAAAAAAAAACGCCCCGTGTCATGGCGAATCAATCGCAGATACGAACACCAAACCTGGTTCTGGTGGGTGGTATACCTACCCCTCTGCAAAATGATGGAGTTCGTCAATTGGGATGATGAAATTCCCAATATATGGAAAGTCATAAGATTCATGTTCGAAACCACCAACCAGTGGCTTCTAAGTCATACAGCTTACTTAGATACGAACACACACGAATTCCTTTGATCTTCAATGTTTCCAAGACAAAAACAAACCATTGGTCTGTTTTCTCATCAAACTGGCCACCAACATGGACCATGAATACATATGAAAACCACCATTCACAAAGGTGAACCTATATGTGAAATTTGTTGAATCCATTTTGCACATGGTGAACAAATTCTATGTGTTTCTATTTGAACACATGCTGAAAAAATATGTTAATCATGTTTTTTTAATGTTTCATTTCCCACGTGTCATACTCTTCTGAAATTCCCATTTCTTGTGATACGGAGGTGACCTAAGTTAGTTCCATGCCTCGGAGCGGAGCTGTTGCTCAGCGACCTGCGAACAGAAGTCTGAATGCCTGTTGGCTGGATATGAAGTAGAGAAGTCCTATGTATAACCATATTTTTTTTATTGGATGTTTGTATATACGGAAGATCATGGAAGTTAGTCGGTCGAAACTTGGTTTACGTCCTCGACACAATTAGGCTTTATGGTAGATATACCGAACTATCCTGAATTTGTTAAGTTGGTGGTTTCAACACCTCTGAAAAATATGAAAGTCAGTTGGGGTTATTATTCCCAATATATGGAAAATCATACGATTCGTGTTCCAAACCAACCAGATTAATTTAACTATCTATGGATAGATTTATATTAGTAGATTATTAAATTTTTTTAAAACGGAGTAGATAAAAATGAATTTCTTCATAGGCTAAAAATATCTGGACTTGTCCCCATCCAATCTCTGATTTTTTTCAGACATGGGATGACAGTTTTTTTTTCAGACGTGGTGAACTTCATAGGATTTATATGGATGGATTGATGAGAACCCATCGACTGACCTGGTAAATTACCTGGGGATTTTGCAGCACCAAACGAAGGGATACCCTCTGGTAAACTAACAGTTTGCGAACTGGAAAATGGTCATTGAGTTCGTTGATTTACCCATGAAATAAATGGGGGTTTCCAGAGTTATGTTAGTTTACCAGAGGGTATATGATGTTACATGAAGTGCAGTAATGGATGGTTTCGCAGGTTGTGGCTTAAGATGGGTTATTCGGCACCCATGTTAAGCCACTTGGCGCAACCATCCATTACTGTTGAGATAGGTTAAGTCCAAACCCAGTGAGGCCCTCGGTGGAAAAATTCTCCCCATGAAATTCATGTGGAAGCCGCATGTGACTTAAAATTTACTTGAGATTTCTGTGAGAAAAAATGTTCATTATGGCTTTTCATTGGAAATAATACGGCTTTAATTATTGTATTTTTTGATTGGTGGGGTTAGTTCACTCAATAAAACTAGAAAACAGACCTTAAAAAACTGATCGCTTGGGGTCGAGATGAATCCATTTCTGTTTCGGTCCAACAAAAATGAAAATTTGATCAAGTCATTTGGGTTGACTCCACAATGTGGTTGTTTCCCTTGAACCAAGATTTAAAAAAAAAGTCCCCGTCAATATTTCAATGTTTAAAAACAATCCAAACCTTGCAGTAGATCCTTGCAGTAGATTCAAAAACATTAAATACGAAGATCCAATATGTCATAGTCCGACCTAAGTCCTCAATTTGGACGTCCCTCATGGGCTATTCACATAGGGAAACACATATAAACACATGACGGAGATTTTGCTGCATTCTTTTCTTCGCTGAGTGAAGCCGGTGAAGCCCCGAAGAAAAACATGGTTCCGTGTTCAACACAGCTACTTGGTGGCTCATCCCGCGAATCGTAAGTGGGTTATAGACCCAGTTATAAATGGGATAAGTAGGGTTAATCCACTTATAACTGGGGTTATAACCCACTTACTAAGTGGGATGAGCCACCAAGTAGGATTTCAACCCTACAAATACCCATGGTTTTTATTCCCGAGATCTTCATTCCGAAGATCCGGATCTCAGAATCTCAGAACCACCACAAAGCCATACATTAGACCATCTACTGGCCTCTATGTCTGTGGTCAGCATACCCCCACCTCCAGGCATGTAAGAGTCCATGTCGCAGTCCACGTCGCAGTCCACGTAAGAGATCATGTGAAAGACATGGCCCATAACAAGCCAAAATAAACCCATAATTGAAGCCCATCATGGCCTACTTACCCACGAACCGTTCAGAAACCTTTACATGGGTTGTTACGTGAGTTCTTACGTGAGTTCTTACGTGAGTTCTTACGTAGGTTTTTCATGCCTTTTTCAGGGGGGAATACCCCTGAACCGTTCATTCTCCGTTCTGAACCGTTCTGAACCGTTCAGAAACCTTTACACGGGTTGTTACGTGAGTTCTTACGTGAGTTCTTACGTAGGTTCTTCTTCATGCCTTTTTCAGGGGGGAATACCCCTGAACCGTTCATTCTCCGTTCTGAACCGTTCTGAACCGTTCAGGGGGGAGGTAAAAACAGCCAAAAACCACGTAAGAAACCACGTAAGAAACCACGTAAGAAACCAGGCCAAAAAAACAGTCCTTGGAAGGGGTTGGACAGGTTAGGTTCTCTCCCAGTGTGTCACGGGCTAAACCAGTGGCCACTGACCACGTGCGCCTTGCCATAGCCATAACTAGGCTCACAGTCACCCATTTTCATGAGCCACACCACTCACATGGGCTTATGAGTGAACATCGACTGACAATACAACGCCACATACATACAATACAAAGATTGTTCAAAGGCCCATTATTTACATGACTTCTTACGTCAACTCTTACGTAGAAAAGACCCATCTCTTACGTCCACCTCTGGGAGACGTCAGAAACCAGCCAATAAAGAGGCTAATGGCAGCTCTAAGCCATACATCATTAATTAACATTGCCAATCAGCCAGATACCCTGCAACAAAATGACAAATTCTTTGCTGGTGAACGTAGATATTCCCATTGATACCAAAAGACTAAAGGATTAAAGTATCCATGTAAGATTGACCTAGTTTATATTGACCCGAATTTTTGCTGCTTCCAAAGATCCAATGTCACATCTAAAATCATCTAAACATCGGGCCACATCTACCAGATCTCATATCCTATGGTAATATCGTCCGCAGTTGGGATATGGGGCTCCTAGTTTTTGTTATCCTCCAGTCAACTGACATAGCCAACATAGCTATGGAAATCCATGGATTGTCATGAATGTTCCATATGTTTTTCTATACTTACGGGCAAGTCATATGGACCCCAGTGTGTGGGCTGTCCATGTATAAATGAACAAATCCTACCGACCTATACTGTTGGAACTGGGGTGAACTAAGCCACTTGCTGAACCTGAACCACCGAGTATTCGCTAAAGACACTATGCTCATCATCTCATTCATCCCACGTACGTTTGAAAAACAATGGATACATGGGTTTGTCTGAAAAAATCGGGGAACACCCCATTCCATCCCATGGATTCTCATCATTTTCCATGGCATAACATGATCATTTAGAAGGTATATCCCATTTTCAAATTCATATGAACGGCCTTCAAAACCATGTGTCGTCTCTAACCCTACTGCTCGGTTGAGAACGAGATGCCCAAATATGCCAAATATATTTAAAAAAAAAATAACAATAACAATAACAATTATTATTATTGTTATATATAATACAATATATATATATATATGCATATATATATGCATATATATATATACATATATATATATACATATATAAAACAATATTATATATGCATATATATATATACACATATTGGTTCCAGTCCAGCAGTACAATCCCCAACTAATCATCAACCAACCGGTGTTGAACGCAGCCACTCCTCAGATGGTTGGCTGAAGTTAGATTCGTTGGTCCAAATAGCTGACACAACGAGGTTTTAAGGTAGATATACCGAACAATTAATGGATTTAATTAAGTTTAAAATGGTCTATTGATGTCTATTGATTTATACAGTATATCCCTTACAGTTCGATGCGGGAAATCAAGCATGAAGACGATTTTCCGAACGGCTTTCCTCACACCTTTTCCTTTCGAAGTATACCATTTCAGCAGCAATGGATGGGATTATACACCATTTAAGTTGGTTTATAATCCCCATGAATACTATACTTATATCATGTTATATCTACCATAAACCATAGAATTCAGCCACTTACAAGGCAACTTAGCTATCTTGGGGGCCCCATCCATAGCTCCCCCGAGAAACTCAACTTGATGCCTCCTGCGCTCCGTCCCGTGCGCGCGAGCGCAGGGAGGACAAGGCGCGCCCCAGCCGTTCACGCGCAGCCTATGTCGTAGCCACGTCGCTTAGGGGGGAAATCATCCACTGGTTGAGGGGAAAATTACAGTAATCCATGTTTAGGGAAGAATATGGAAAAATCATATCATCTTTTGTATCATATAGGGATAAAACTAACATTTAAAGATAGGAATACATGAGAAGTAACCCATGTGCAGGGCCTGACACCATCCATTTTTGGGGGCTATGCAATGTTTTTTAGCCATGTCAAGCCAAGAAATGGGGATCGCAACCAGCCAAAGATGGAGATGTTAAACTGGTGGCCACTGGAAATCCTCTATAAATAGAGGTGTTTGTTGCTGGGAACATCAGCTGTTGGATATGTTCCAGCCATGGAGCTGATGAAACCAGATGCTGTACGCAACGTTGAGGCGGTATGAGTGCATAGATAAGCATCAAACACAGGGACACAAGGAATGGACTGATCTTGATGGACATGTTCAGTACTTAATATAGGCATGCTAACTTCATCCAAATATATCATCATCAAATATTATATATAATATGTATAATATATATATATAATTATATTATTTTATATTATATTATTTTATATTATATATTATATAATATAATAAAATATTATATTATATAATATCATATTATATTATATGTTATTATATATATATTAATATATATATAACAGCGAGATCTCAAATTATATCCCGAGAAATCCCGATGATGGATAGGTTGTTTTTTCTTTATATTTCCACCAAACAATGTGCCTATAAATATTTACAAATCCCTACAACCCAATGTCTATTCCCACAGCAACTTATGCCCCAATATATCTCAATATCTCCAAAGTAACGTTGTTGGGTTTTGAGTAATCTAAATATAAAACTAATTATAAATCCCTATAAATCCTTATAAATCCCTAATCCCTATAAATCCTTATAAAATCCTTATAAAATCCTTATAAATCCCTATAAATCCTTATGGTTGTTGCTTCAACCTCCATTTTGGACGGCCCCCAATGGCCCCCATGGCACCTCAAAAACCGCCGTCAACCGATAGGCCTCGCCTCGTCTTCCGATTGAGCGAAGCGCAGCCGTTCAGACAGCACCTTTTTGCGTCCGAGTCGACGCGGAATCCGCGGACGCAATGCCCGAAAGCTGAAAGATCTGAAAGGAAAATCCATGGGAAACATATGGGGGTTTCAACTTTGACATGGGTTTCAATACTCAATTCATGGACGTTCATGATTTGGATGATTTGAGGTACCCACGATTGGAGACATCTATGGATAATAGATAATTACACTTAACCAACGTGGGTTATACTTCACTTCATGGAAGCTTCATTCATTGTTGATCATGGGATATCTGTGTAATATGAAATATGATAATAAGGTCTGAGACTGTAATACTTACTGATTTGGAAAACATTAAAAACAGCAGTGAGTCTGTATGGTATTTCAGCAGTAAGTCCGTAATGCACATGTAGCATTAGGTAATAAAGGTAATTTTAATCAACTGTTAATGGTGATTTGCTGGGATTACCAGGATTCAATGATGGTTGCCCTCCGGTAGCTTTTCAAGGGACAATAAAATATAAATGGATGAGTTGTCCATTGCCACGTTTGATTACCAGAGCGTATATCACCATGATTGAGGATCATTATATTGATAATCAATGATGACAATCTATAATCAATCCATGGGATATAACTATGTGATATATCCATAATATCTATAATCCATTATATCACAATGATAATGATAATTGCTCATCATCAATGGGACAAGTATCATTATCATTGTGATATAATATGATATAATCATTAATGTTCCTATTGCAAAAATCCCATCAAAATGAAGCGCCAAACATCATAGTGTTGGTTATACATCCCATTGTATATTATCATTCTATTCCCATTGTAACCCATTAGGTCACCACTAGTTTCCCATTAAGATCTCATTCTAACCACTGGATAGAAAATGTTATAGTTGGAATCTTCTAGTAGAGTTAAAACCATATTCTACCCTCTGGCAAACCAACATAACTATGGAAAATCGACATTCTTAATGGGTAGATCATGAAATATCCCCAAAACATCCATGCAGAGGTTTCCATAGTCATGGGGGTACCCCAATAGCTCGCTGGATGGTTTATTTCTTGAAAAAATCCATCTATAAGTGGTCAAATATTTATAGATGGTCAAATATTTATAGATGGTCAAATATTTATTTAGTGGTCAAAAATCCATCATTGTTTATAGATGGTCAAATATTTATGGAGGTGTCTAAAAGTGGGAGATCCATGGAGATCCCATTTTGCCAAATGGTCGGAAATTTTGGATGATTTCCAATAGCTGGATGGTTTATTTCATGAAAAAAACAATAGATGGAAAGATGCCCCAAATCATCCATGTGAAAAATAGGATTTTCCATGAACTAAACCATTTATAGATGGATTTTCCATGAAAGAAATCATCCAGCAATTTTTCGGGGTGCCATGATGAAAGCTCCATGTGGAGATGGACGGGCTGTTTCCGACCTCTCGTTCTTGGCCACTCAGCTGCCGTTCCTCCTCCAGAGCGGCCTGGCCATTGCTGTGTCTGCGGAAGATGGGTCAAGGTGGAAAAATGCAATTAATGGTTGATGAATGGTAATAATGGTGATTCTATGGGTATGTCCATATATATATATTCATTACATATGACATGATTGAATGGTAATAGTGTCAAGGGCATATTAACAATAATGTATATAAATTGCATAATATACATAATATATGATGGTACTAATGTCATATTACTGGTAATTCCCAATATATATATATACATATATATATACATATAAATATATACATATATATACATATATACATATGTGGTAGTTGATTATATTAGTGGTAAATCACATTGATGGTGATTAATGATCAATGGTATATCAATGGTAACCTAATATTATATTTGATGATGTTGATGGTATACTGGTATCAATGGAAATTAGTGGTATGGAAAAATGGTGTCAATGATTATGATTAATCATATTGATGTTAACAGATTAATTAATTAATATATACATATAATAATGGTAATGATATGAAATTGTATCAATGGTGATAAAAAGCTAGTGGATATCATGGTAATTAATATTATTGATGGTAATCCCCATTGTCATTGATGGTAAGCCCCATTCCATTATGGTAATATATATATATATATATGTATTAAAGGGTAATAATATAGATGCTATTTTGGTCCGAAATACCAGTTATAAGTCAGTAAGTCACCCCCTTTTATGGAATGATTCACCCCATCAAAATAACCATGTGTAACTGGTAAAGGGTCATAACTCTAATTCATAATATTGGAAACCATCATACAATAATTGTATTTATTGAATTTATATTGAATTATATGATTTATATTGTGGTCTTAAAACATAATGGTAATATATGGTAATTATTGGAATTATTGGACAAACATTGATAGTTAAAGCAGTTTTAACCAGTTAAAACCATCATGATAATTCCAAAGAATTATCGGGGATAATTACTATTATACATCCATTGTAGATCCTTCTTTTTGAAATCATGCACTATGGGAGGTGAAAACAAGTTGAAAGTTTTGGCCCGTATCCACCTGAAACCATGTAGAAGGTCTCAAAGCCCGTGAACATATTGGGCAGCCTAAAGTAACATGAAGCAATGTTTCAGAGAGAACATTGAAAACTCAGCCAACTATGTGTTTAGGCACCCAATACAGTTGAACCTACTAGGATGCCATAAACTTATCCATGATAATGTTCGCAGTCCAAAGTCAAAAACTGGTAGGGTGCATGTCCCTGTCGGTTTGTCTGAACATGGGATATACCCGAAAAATCCAGTGATTCATCGTCATTATCCCGATTAAATTGCCATTGGAGGGGTGTACCCCATTGACAATTATATATCCATGTATATTGATGGTTATATATTATAGTGGTTATTGATGGTTGTATGTTAGATACCCATGTATACCCCGCTATATCCCACTATATCCCCTGACATGCCAAAATCCCATCAAATCCTACAAACTTAGATTCTTGGTCACCACTTTCGGAATTTTATGCAATGCTGCCTCTGCAATGTGCAGTTTCTCCAAAAGAAGCTGAGCCTGCAGCGCGGTTGATTCCCTTCGAAGAAATAGCGCCGAGGAACAAAACCCGCATAAACAGTATGGGAGACATTGCGGGTATTGAATGTTGGGGATGGGGTCGAGTCTTGGTTGTTTATGATAATCTTGTGAACCAAAAGGGTATATCACGTGAAGTCCTTTGAGGTCGCTGTAGATCTGAATGGACCTTTAGATTGAATTCCATATATATATATTACCCTCTTGTTATTTAACATAGCCATGGAAAATTACCCATTTACAGATGGTTTACCTATCAAGAATGTGGATTTTCCATGGCTATGTTAAATAACCAGAGGGTATATAATATCTATAATTATATATATATAATTTATGTAATTATACTTCACCTTTAGATCGACTTCCATAGATCAACTTCCATAAATTCACTGGTTTGGTTTACGGGAAAATCTTAACCGGAAACCATGGCTGTTCCCCATCAAATATAGGCTTTTCCTGCAGTTTTTCCCACCAATCCAATGCCAAATATATACATATATCATATAGCTATACGTATATAGTATATCATATTAGCCATATTAACCATATATTAACCATTTCTTGATGGCATAGAGATTCCCAGCCGCCCAAGCAATGCCGAGCATGTCCTGCCGAGCACTCAACGTCAATGCCTCAGCAGGAGGAGATCGCCAAGGGGATCGGAAGAATGCCACGAATTCGATTCGTCGAAAGCTACTTGGTGGCGAACTACCCACGAATCGTAAGTGGGTTAGTTCACCCCAGTTACAAGTGGATTCACCCTACTTATCCCATGTAAATCACTGGGGTTATAAGCCACTTACGATTCGTGGGATGAGCCACCAAGTATGGATTTAATGTTCATGGGATTTAATGGATATTCAATGGGGAGTTAATGATTGATGAGATTTCATGGGATCTAATGGGATTTAGTACGACTTAATGGAATTTAATAAGAATGAATGAGATTCAATAGGAATTATATAATGGGCATCTAGTGCGATATGTACCCAAGCATAGTTGTTGAAAATAAGGTTAACATGGCAAAACAGGGATGGATTATGCCCATGCAAATGCCCCATACCAAATGCGGAAAATTCAAGATGGTCGGTCAAATATGGTGAGATCAGGAGAAAATGCGGGAAATCAATGGAAGTCCATGGGGATAACAACCAACCATTTATCGATGTATCGGTTGGTTGGGCTAATCAAATTGCGGTGTCTGTGTCAAAGTGTGTTGGGATACAGCATGATACAGCCACAATATGATCTTGAAATACATTTGATGCGTCCTCCGAGAAGGGGATTCTCTGAGCTGTTTTCATAGGGTTTTCCAAAATGGGGGATCCCCAAGTCACCATGGGTTTCAACACCAAAATGACCTAATGATTTGGGGAAGCCCTATTTTACGAAACCTCCGTATTGCCACTCTTAGGTTCCATGTTAAATTTAGAGTGGTGACCTCCAATCAATCAAGCTCAATTGACTCGGCAACCTCAATCATCAGCCACATAGTGAATGAACAATGCACGACGCTGGATGATCATGGTTTTACCCAAGGACATGGAGAGACTCTCCTATTCGCCCACTATGTTCAGATTCTTCTGGGACGCGACAGTTGCACCCCCAAGCTTATCTCATTGTACGTGGTTAAACTTCAATCTCAACTTATTATATAACTGACATAACTTACCCCCTGGTAAACTAACGTAACTATGGAAAATCACAATGCTATTAATGGGTAAATCCACTATTTCCACTGGGCCATGTTCAATAGCTATGTAAACGTTTACCAAGGAGGGTAGCCCTAATCATACCCCCAGTTCCAAACTTGCCCTTTCTTGCCTCGCTGACGGGCGCAGCCCCACCTCGGCAGGATTGGATAGCAAGGTGCACCAAGAAAGTGTACTGAGACACCATATTTTTCCCCATTCATTTGTGAAGATATCTAATGATATCTATATAGAAATATCATTCTTATACAATTCTTATAGTTGTATCATGTTTTCCATAAAAAAATGTAGGTAAATAAAATCATGCCATCAACATATATATAATTCTGTAAAGCAACCCCAAAACATGATAAAACAAATGATAGACTAAATGTCAGTGGGATTGTATCAACTCTTATCTTTTTCATTCTGTTTGGGAGGTTACAATTTTAGTTCACAAAGGGAAAAAAAACATTTTGTAGCCAGCCAATGGGCACTTCGAACTTCGAACCTATGTTATTTTGCTCGTTCTGATAAGACTGTTGAAATCACTTGTTAATTCACACTGTTGCTTTGTCATTCTGTTTCTTTTAATGAACAGTCAAGCGAAACCATTAAAATCACAAGCCCTTGGTCGATATTGTTCGGACATCCGCCTACACCCATCCATTGCCGTGATGTCACCGTAGTATCCCCAGCCACGGGAAACAAGAAACACTTGTCTGGTTGGTGGTGCTATAACCATCTTGAAAAATATGAGTTCGTCAATGGGAAGGATGACATCCCATATATGAAATGGAAAATAAAAAGCCATGTTTGAAACCACCAACCAGTACTGGATGAGTCAGTTTTGTTTCTCGTATATCCAATTCTTTATACACACTGTATCCCCACTACATATCACTATATATTATCCCAGCAGTTGTGATTGACCTATTCATGGCATATCCCAAGAACTACCCGCTACCTACCCTTCCAATCAGCGTTGGTCCCCACCTGACAGAGTGCAGGGAACAGCCACTGGCTCCGACGCCTGGGGATGTGGGGATAAATCATGGGGAACTGTACATAGAAACCATAATGACCATGGCTATAGGCTCTGAAATCAAGAAAAAACGGGGGGGTCAACAATTTTGAATATCGAATCTGGTGATAAATCACAAACATGCTATAGGATGCCCACGCATGGAGCCATCTGACGAAGCATCTTGAACCCAATGGATCATCAGTGATTTTCTGAGTTGGCTTTGTCCCAACAAATGACGAACGATATCCCAAGTTGTGGCATAGTTGTTGGGGCAAATGAGACTTCAAACCATTGGATTTTAGTTTTTGTTTATGCAAAAACATGTTGCCACAGCATGGTTCACCCCCAGTTATTGGACTTATTTGCAGCAACTTAGCTAACTATTTTTGGCCCCATTTCTGGCGCGCGTGTAGGACCGGATGCATCTGGGGCACCATGGGCATTTCCAACTCAGGGCCGTCAGAGCCGCAGCCATATGGTGGACAGCATGGCGAGGAAGAAATCCAAGGGATCCATGGTAGGGCAGTTTTTCAATAAATGTCGTTTGGTTTAGGACTACAACTCTTGGATTTATGGTCGAAAATATCTATAACTTTTGTTAGTGACAATGTGGAAATAGATCCACAGTTTTTCATGGGACTACCAACTGAAAGGCGTTGAAACGCTGTGCACCATGGATTGATGACGGTAAAGCTCTTCATCCAAAGATCTTGAAATGGCGTTGTCTGAAAATAGAATACCATCTGGTTATGACTAACATAGCCACGGAAAATCACCATTTTTAATAGGTAAACCATCTATAAATGGGCAATCTATAACATGGCTATGTTAAATAACCAGAGGGTACCTCCCGAATTCCATATGGTTCACCATCATTTTTGCCTATGGAAATCGCAATGAAATTAAGGTAGTAGGAGTAAAGGGATCAGGACGTCAAAGCATCGAAATCTGGGGTGAAACACTGGCGATGAACCGTTGGAACTTCAGTGCAATTCATCAGAATTGCAATGGCTGGGTGAAACAAGGTCTGAAATGGATCCAAAATTTCATGACTCTGACGATCTGAAATGGTGCTTTCATATATATATATATATGCGTATATATATATATATATATGTAGAGGATGATTCTGTTCACGTCAGGAGTTCGGTGTACCACCTGATTTTGACCCATATGGCTGTCGTCGTTGCCGGAGGTGCGCCAGTACTAGCCCGCAGGTCCATCGACGTTAGTCCATTGCTACCAGTGGGTAAATGGATGTACTATCACATATATATATATATATATATAAGTATATACATATATATATATATAATTATGTAAATATATATATATATTTATATTTACATAATTATATATATATATGTATATCTACAATTGCATCATGAGCGTCACTTGCAACTTTCATTCAACATCTGATCTGACTGGTGATTTCAACACGAATGCATGGAACAAGCAATGAGTCCCCAGCGCTTCCGAGAGAAAGTCCGCAGATGGGTATAGGCCCAGCACGGATTCACGGGAACAACCTGGATCCAATCATTGTTAAAACATGGTTGTCCCCACCTGCCAGGTGAGGGTTGTTAGATTTTATCAGAGCTGTTCTCCTCCTCCTCCTCCTCCTCCTCAATGCCAGAAGATATGCCGGATAAAAATGCCAGAAGATATTCCAGATAGAATGCCAGAAGGTATGCCAGATAGAATGTCAGATAGAAGGCCAGAAGGTATGCCAGATAAAGTGCCAGAATGTTTGCCAGATAGAATGCCAGAAGATTTGCCAGTATCACAATGTATAAATGTCATGGTGGGGATCACACGAAGTGAAGTAATTTTCACATCCTGCAAAAGTCGTGATTGAAATCATGTCTGAGTCTTTCCAAGCAGAGATTGAAGAAGGTGGACGGAATCTTAGACTTTTTTTTCCAACTGTGTTACTTCCCATCCAAATCATCAAATAATATCTGCATCTGCAGCCACCCACCCCTTGCATGACATCCTTTTTGCTTCTCTTAGCCGGGGTATCCACCCTTGACCTCCACATACCTGCAGTGAATCTCCGACTGCGCAAGAGTTCACCCTTGGATTCTTCTGTTATCTAAGATGTTTAGGCTCATTCATTGCCCAAAGGGTGCCCTTTATTTGATGAAGCGATCATGTAACCATCAACAAAGCTATGCGCTGGGATATTTTCAAGGCAGCGGGAAGTTGTGATGGGCCAATGGATTCCAATGTTACGTTGCAGTAGCTGTCACCAACTCACTTGTACCGAATCTCCGGCAATTACAGAAACATATTAAACAATAAACCTTGCTGGTGGTATACCTACCCCTCTGAAAAATGATGGAGTTCGTCAGTTGGGATAATGAAATTCCCAACTGAATGGAAAGTCATAAAAGTCCATGGTTCCAGTCACCACCAACCAGAAACTCATATCGCTATCAAAACCCTGGTGCCCCGAACCCCAAAAAACGAATCGTAAATGGATGCTCATCCCCGAACACAGTTTTAAGTGTATCTATAGAATTCTATAAGTATACTGATCCATAGTCATATGATACAAGCACTATTGGATTCACACATGGTATCCACATTTAGTAAATTATAATATGATATAATATGTCACTAACCTGAATTGTTGGGCCATTTTGGGATGATTTCCCTGTAAAAACCATGATTCCAGGGCTCGGTCGCGACGTGAGGTCGTTATATTTTTACCCAGGCACATGGTATCCACAGAAACTACATGCCTTGCCGCCCAAATCATTAAGCCCCACAAGTCACTTGCTCAAGAGTTTGCTGCTCAACGGTAGGAACTCCTTGTGGCACGTTGAGCGCAGTGTACAACTCGAAGTGGAAAACCACAGCCAAAACGACATTGTTGGTTTATGGAGGTTAAAAGAGGATAATGGATGATCACCGAAGATCATGGAAGTTTCAGAAAAACATATCTTTTTAGTAGGAATCTTCGCTGTAGAATGGGGGAAATCACAATTTGATTCGATGTGGTTGCGGTTGGCGCTACGATGCGCTACGATTGGGGACCCAGATCGCTCTCGTCATTTTGACACTATTTTGGAGGTCTGAATCATTCCAAGCCAATCCCACGAAGATTGTGGATCTGATCCTGAAACAAATGCTGCAGCTGAGAACTTTCCCCACGACACAACTGCCAGTGGCTGTTAGCCTGAAAACCTACAGCCATTGGCTTTCCTAAACACTCCTTGTGTCCCAGGGTTACCGAAAAAAAAAACTGCCAGTGGCTTGCCCCTCTCCCCTTGCGAAAACGTTGCCGCGGCACGTTTGTCTGGCAGTAGCTTGCACCAGGTGCAACCTTGGGCGGCCCAAACCACCAACCATCCAAGACATTCCAAGACTAGGTGCCCTCAGGTGATTTCTTACATAGCTATTCAAAATGATCCGTCTATAGATGATTTATTATGATTTACCTATTACAAATAGTGATTCTACACTCTTGCGTTCATTACCAGGGTAGTTTTCTAGAATTGATCTGAGGGAGGATGTGCCGAAAATATCCGAAAAGCGTCTGTCTGAAGGGTACCCCACAATTTTTATGGTTTATCATTAAATGCACCACTGAAATTGCTATTTCTGGGTAGTGGGTATACCCCAATTTTCAGTCACACTGATGTGAGTCAAAGCGCGGGTTTGGTGTAGCTCTGCCCTTAAACCAATCCAGTATATAATGATTTCTATCCTAAACAATTGAAGTCCAGCAAGACATCGGTTTTGACTGGGTGGTTCCCCTGGATGGTTGTAACTTTGGCTGAGTTGGGGCTACTTAACCCTACACATTCAATTTACCGTACTTAAATATTCATCTTCTTTGGCAGCATCCGTATTCCAATCAATTCCTATGGGTACTCTAAGAGTCAAACTAAACATGTTCAGTTAGTTCAGTTTGAGCGTTTTCAGTTCATAAAAGAGACACACATATACCCTTAAATGTTGAGTTCAACCAATGTTCAGTTCTTCCTCATCAATAATTTTCGCTGCATCAATAACACATGTTCACTCTAGCAGTGTTCAGCACCCTCTGTCTTCCCTTCATACTGCGTGTTTAAGAACGGGATTGCCAGTTCATGGACTAGTATAATCCCCAATATATATAGGGTACCGTATATAATCCCCAAAATAAATAATCAACCAACATCAACCAACCATCATGGCCACCAGTTCCACAAAGATATCCCTATAGTTTGATGCTTAAAACATCTTAAAAGCATTTAAAAGCCCTATGAAATGATAGTGAAATCATCAACCAAAAGAGTCAAAGCTGGGCTGCCCCACTGGCGCGAAGAGCGACTGTAGGACCTGGTCAAAGATGCAGAGGTTCTCATTTCCTGGGCCAATTCTTTGGCATGTTTGAGACCACACTGCCACACGGTGCAAGTTTTGAGGACCAATCTTTCATGAAAACAAGAGTGCCCATGGCAGGAATGCTCATCAGTGGGAACAAAACAGAACAAAAAGTCCTGGAACACAAATAAAGGAGGCCCCAATTTCAAAAGTTCTTTCGAATGTTTGGGGCTTTGTAGGGCTTTGTTCAAGGGGAATTCAATTCTCTTGAAACCTGGGGGCCATTGGCCAATCATTGCTGGTTTTGCCGGTTTACAGTCCAGAAATGGGAAGGGTTACCAGCAAATTGTATGTAGATAGACAAAGCACCCCAAACAAATATATTTACTAGAATCGTTTTTTTAACAACAACAAAAACGCTATCGAACAAGACTATGAAACAATATATTTGGCAACTATCTACTTTCATGATGGAGTATTGATATCTATTTTAATCTGTTGGAGGGTAGGTTGCTTCACTGAACCATGTTACGCCTCAAGCAATGGGAGTACCCCGTACTCCCAAATCAGGGGAAAAACCATGATCAAACAGAAATTACAGAATATTGTGCACACACACGTGTATATATTATACATAATATGTATATATCAAAAACGATAGAATAGCAAAACCCTACAACAATAGTGCAGATTTTTTCCGTTTTTTTGGGGGCTACAAATCTAGGTGTATACGATATGTATATATGATACATACACCCAAAGCTGGCATGCTCCATCCATGATGTATTTACCCATATTCCAACATACCAGGCCAACAGTGTCAAGACACGAAAGAGCTGCTTGCTTCTGGCGTAGTCCCAGACCTACCGGGCGCCGGGCCCCCGCAACAAGTCTAGTGACGTCAACCAACAAATGTTGGGTTGAAGATAGTTCAAATTTCTCTCAGGGGTCCTGATTCTTCTGTGTAGTTTTCAATTTCTTTAGGAGCCTTAGCTAGTATGGAAGTACCAAACAATGATGTTTAATGCCTCAATCTGAGGAAATGCAAGGAACCCTGATTCTGAAAAATGCCAACGCCAATTGCTCCTGCTGTATGCTTCCATTCGCCTTTTTTTTGGCCAGGCCTCAATTGAATGTGCGCTGTTGTATATCCCTTCTCCCAACTAGTTTGTGTGTTTAACCCATATGAATATAGAGAATCTTAGTCTATTGGCGTCAATAGTTCTGTATCATCCCACATAGGTTCTGACATAAGTTATCGCAGTGGAACAACCATCGATGATTACTGGTTGGTGGTTTTAACCATCTTGAACAATATTAGTCAATGGGAAGGATGACATCCCATATATGAAATGGAAAATAAAAGCCATGTTTGAAACCACCAAGCAGATTATATTAATGATGATGGGGGTAGTCACTACTGCCCTTGATGTATTTGGTCTGATCAGGATTTTTACAAAGCTCCGAGAATCTCCGGAAGCTCCAATGAAATCAGGAGGATTCAACTACTGTGCCCCCTAAAAATCGTCGACGTCGGACACGATCGTTTGAGATGATGCGATTGAGACGAGGTAACACCTTGGCTGCCTAGACGCTGCCAAGGTATAGGAAGCTGGATGATTTAAGCTAGAAACACGATTTTTTTCCTCCTCATCCAATATCAGTGTCATATCTATAGATATGCCTCCATAGGTGCTCCCTTTGGCATTTGATGAAGACTCATCTTTGTTCCCTAAGTTTCCTCCAAAACAGGATATGCAACAAATCCCTGGGCAGTAATGTCAACCCCGGATTAATAAACCATGGTTTATTAATTAGGGTGGTATTCCCCCAATAGTCATGATTTGATACTTTTTTATGGTACCTTCCCAATTGAACAGCCGTAAACGGGGTTTATTAATCCAGGGTTGACATTAAGAGTTCTATCCCATTCAATATTAATCACTATTAATCACTATTACCCCACTATTAGCACATTATTAACCTACTATAAATCACTATTCATCCCATTTCTAGTGCAACAAGGCTTTACTGATGATGTTGGGAGAAGTCCCAGAACTTCCCCGCAAACTGTCCCATGAATTTCCAGTCCTGGTACCTTCAACAAAATAGCAATGGTCATCGATTAGGATCATTCAAGGGTTAAAATGCTGAAGCCATCAACTGGTGAATTATGATAATCCCAATATATAATAAATGTAATTGTATATATATACATATGTATATAATATGTATATAACATGTATATATATAATTATATATATATATATTATAAAGGGTAGTATAATCACTGTGAATCCAATAGAAGAACCCAGTCCCAGACTGGTCACTGCCGTCCTGCGCATCTTTTGGCTCAGTGCCAGCATTAGCGGCCACCGTGGCGGTGTGACACGACACGTCTCAGATTTCCGTGTCGACGTACAAAGGGGATGCGAACGATTTGTTCCATAGCTATGGAAAACCATGGCCCACTTACGATGATCAACCCATAGTGACATAGTGGTAATGGTCCATTATGGTCCATAACTATTAAGCCTTCAACCTTTTTGCTTCGTAAATTAAAAAAGTCTCCTATGCAGGAGCAATGGTCAGCAGCAGTGGCTAAACTACCCGGATGGGGGTTGTCTGAAAATGACAAAAAGCAACCAATTCCAATGGTTTATGATCACCTTCCCGCTAATACCACAATCATTGGGGTACTGTCTAGTAACGATTTTCTATGATTTTCTGCCACCCCCAGACTGAAGAGCAAACATGTCAGGGAACTTGGCTGAAACCAGCAAATCTGCTTCAAATATAAAGAGCCTAAACACATATCAAGACACTCAAAGTACCCACAAAGTGGTATACGCACACTAACTGTGTCCTATAACGAGGTCGTTGTCAGGTTGCTCTGATTGGCCTGGCTAAAATCATCGGCGCCGACCCAGAACAACAACATGGTCTTCATCAATTCCCCAAATAAACTGCGTCCCCAAAGGCAACGCCATGGTGGTTTCTCTGCAACCAGCGGGCCATAAATAACATCTGTACCCTCCAGTGTCATCAAACGTGGCGGGCCGCTGGAAAATCCCCAAACTATTCATGGTGGATTTTCCAGCAAGCCACGTTTTAGGACACGGAGGGTACATGCTTTGGATACACAAACTCTAGGGATATCCCTCAATCATGCATATCAGACCCCCTTAAAAGTCCATAAAGTAGAGCGTTCACCACCATTGACCAGCATCACCTCAATCACCAAGCTGTGTACATGCAGGTACGATACATATACCTGAAATGTACTCCCTCTATGTATATGTATCGGTTGACCCTAACGTACAAAAAAAGGGTCAAATGATGGTCAATATATATATATATATAATTATAATTATAATTATATATATATATCTCTTTGTAAAATATAAAAATGGATCGTACCAACCAACTTTGCTCATTCTCCAGCTCATCAGGCAATGCTTTCGCATCCAAAGGAAAGGGCAAAGGGACTGAACATCGCAGAGCAGGGGCTCCCACTAGGCGGCCACAAGACATGCCGTGTGAAATTGGAGGTAAAACGCAATCCGTACATATAGACATATAGACATAGAAAAGTTGAAGTCCTCCAACGGAGAAAACATCAGCATCATCAGCTTTAGGTTTACCAGGGCCCAACAAAATGGCCACATCTGTGGTGCCCCCAGCTTTTGAATACAGACTTGCCCTTCAGATTGAATCGATTTTCTCGGGGGCTTTCGGCCCATCAAAAGATCTCACCGAGCCATGCCGTGACCGCGAACATCGCTGCGATCCAGATGCTCCTTGCGGTGCGGATCTGGGATCTGCTCGTTGCGACTGGTGCAGTATCTGACAATGATAGAAACGCATCTGGAGGCTTCCTGAAATGGGGGTACCTTCAAATCATCCAATTTATAGATGGATTTTCCATGAAAAAAAACATCCAAGTTTAGGGATCCCCCATTTATGGAACCCCCAAAATTGGTTGGTGGTCTTGACCGCCTATGAAACACAGTACAGTCTACTCTTTTGCATGCATTTTCGAGCTATTTGTTGGACGGCAGGGAGACTGTGATGACAGGATTATCATGGGATTATCAGTACTCAGTAGGGAGAAACATACACATATTTGAAACCACCAACCAGATCATCATTGGTTATATACCCGCTATGTCCCTATTCTTCATGGTCAAGTTGGTTAAGTTGGTTAAATCCTTGTTTTGATGCATTCTCGCGATCTTGACACTACCCGGGTGGACCTCTTCATTGCAGAAATCGACAAGCTCTTTGTGGCGACGATATCGACCATAGAATGTTTCATCATTTGTCGAGTCTAGTGATATGGGGTTGAATATAGTTGCGACAACAACCCACCAATTCTAGTTTCATAATAGTTTCTAGAATCTATAATAGTGAATCGATATTTAACCATAGACATAGATCTACAGTTAATCGTTGTTCTATAATCTACTTTGCGGGTCTTTGTTGCAGATATTCCAACCAGCAAAATTGATGGCTTACATGAACCATCTAAGGTAGTCATCTCAAACATCTGGAATCGCTACACTATGTTACACTTATATCCTTAAACAATGCTTAAACACGTGAAAAATCAGGCAAATTTCATCCATGTCTTATCCTTGAATCATATAATGTTTTTTTGGAATCATAGGTCCAATTCCGAAGCTCATCATGCCCCATTCAAATTGCTGTTTGGAGGTTTCCCAAAATAGGGGTACCCATTTCATCATCCATTTCATGTTCGGATTTTCCATAAACCAGACATTTTGCGGGTTACCACCATGGCTTTAGGAAATCCCTATAGGATTAATTGCTGTAATGTGGGTAAAACAATGCCATAAACCACCCATCACTGGGAATAGTAACCATACCACCAACCAAAAAATGGTGATGACTGGAGGATGGTAAAAATTATGTATTGTTTTACCCACATTAAATTCAATCCCATATGATTCCCCACCTGCCAGGTGAGGGTTGTTAGATTTTATGTCAGTTGCCTCCTCCTCCTGCCGCCTCCTGCCTCGTCCTGCCTCCTGCCTCCTGCCTCCTCCTCGTCCTCCTTGTCGTCCTTGTCGTCCTCGTCGTCCTCGTCCAACTGCGACCCGCGATCCACAGTGTTCGCTGCCGGACCTCAACCACGACCATCCCCGCCCAGTGTTCCCTGCCGGACCTCAACCACGACCATCCACGCCCAGTGTTCCCTGCCGGACCTCAACTGCGAGTATCCACGCCAAGTGTTCCCTGCCGGACCTCATGTAGGAAGATATGGGACAAAGAATGTGCAGAAGAAAGTTAGAAAGAATGTCAGACAAGTATGTTATATATTACTTGCAAACTAGATATGCCAGAAGATATGCCAGAAGATGTGTCAGATAGAATGCCAGATAGAATGCCACAAAGTATGCCAAATAGAATGCCAGATAAAATGTCAGATAGAATGCCACAAAATATGCCAGATAGAATCCCAGAAGATTTGCCAGATAATATGCCAGATATGCCAGATAGAATGCCAGATAGAATGCCAGAAATATGCCAGAAGATATGCCAGATAATATGCCAGATAGAATGCCAGAAGATTTGCCAGATAGAATGCCAGAAGATATGCCAGAAGATATGTCAGATAGAATGCCAGAAGATATTCCAGATAGAATGTCAGAAGATTTGCCAGATAGAATGCCAGAAGATATGCCAGAACATATGCCAGATAGAATGTCAGAAGATTTGCCAGAACATATGCCAGATAGAATGTCAGAAGATTTGCCAGATAGAATGCCAGAAGATATGCCAGAACATATGCCAGATAGAGTGCAAGATAGAATGTCAGAAGATATGTCAGATAGAATGCCAGAAGATTTGCCAGTAAGAAAGTGTATAAATGTCATGGTGGGGATCACACGAAGTAAAGTATAAAAAAAAAACATAGAAATCCCTTATGATTCCCATAGAAATCCCATGTAAATCCCATGCATAACCCGTTGTTTTTCACTCCAAGCCGCACTCGTGGCATTTCCGTGGCAGAAATGCCAATGGCTCCATCCTCCGCGGACTCCATCGAAACGACCTGCGAGTCATGGATCTCTGGAGGAAAAAAAACGTGTTTTAGATTTAGATGGGTAGAACATCATGTTGATAACATATTAATAACCATGAAAAATAACTATTACTAACATTTCATAACCATTGAATATATACTATGTTCATAACCATTCAAGAAACCATTGAATAACCATTGAATAACCATTAAATGACCATTATAAACCATTGAATAAACCATTAAATACCATGAAATGTCAGGGACTATTTGGGTGTTTCTTCGGGATCACGATTTCGTGGTCATCCATGACGACTGGTTTTTCGAACTTCTTCTGCCCCCATGACTTTGGTGACCTCTCTTGGGAAAAATATGGTTTTAGATGGCTTTAGGATGTTTAGCCGTTTTCAAAAAACGATAAAAATGATAAAAAAAAAACGCACTTAAAAAAAATGGGACCACAAGAAACTACCCTCAAAAAAAATTGGCAAGGACTTCGCAGAAAGGTCCAGTTCTGTGGCCACGCTGGGGGTATCCATGTTTGGACCAACACACGCATAAACTCTTAAAAACTGAGGGATTCACCTGCAAAAATGATACAGAAAAGATGAGAAAATGATACTGAAATCGAAGGGTTCCTCACCCAAAGGCGAACAAGAAACTTCGGAATCTAACGGGATACGCACCAAGCAGTTGACATGGGACATGACATGGCAATTTTGCCGCTCTCGGGGGGTCCTCCCGTTTTAATGGCGACCATTGTGATCAACCAAAACGCCGCCCATGGGCCCGTGGTCAAACCAAACATGGTGGTTTCGCCAGACGGTTTTAACGCTGACATTTCTGTGAGAAACTGTGAGCAAAGTTCGCACAAAAAAACCATCAATCAACGGGTGAACTCGATTTTTCCCACTTGACCCAGCATGACCCAGCTGCATTGGGTCGAAGACTTGACCATCGAATGAAAGCTCCATTTAGATTTTCGTTTGTTGGACTTGCCTATGTAAAAACTTGATGCATAAGTTTGTACGCCGCAGTTGTCACTGGACCATTTTGATGTTATATGACCTACTTGATAATCGTGTTCGGATACGTTGATTGCATGCTGCATGATTGAATTGGTTGAATCTTGTTGGAGAGGTAGACTTACGGCCCATTGTAACTTAAGGCAAAGATGAGTGGATTTCATGGACATGGCTTACAGGAGACCACAATATTTAAGCCATGAAAAGTCAGCGAAATAAAAAGGGTTCCCGAACAAACAAATAGAGTAGCCTCAACCCAATTCTGGGATCTCCAACCACCCCCTTGCTACCAAAACCCTCCACAACACCCCGGAACGCCCCAACCCAAAAAAGCGACCTTCACATTTGGAACATCCATCATGCCATCATATCTCATCATATCCCATCTGCCATGATCAAAACTTAGGCAAATTTCCCATATTTGAGGATGGTCATGAATCTGTTAATCGAGGGTTATAGACGCACGATGCTTGGATTGCCAAAACACACAAATTATAGGACGGATGAGCATACAACGTTTGTATGTAATGATCCTGAAGTAGATACTGTAGAATATGGTATTTTCAAAGACAAGTATTCCCAATTTTTTAGGACGTTTGAGAAATGTCCATAGTCTGTATACTATGCATATATATATATATATCATAGCATGTATATCTTGACATGGCACCTCTCCCAGCGCCTGCTGGGTGTAGTGACCATGACCCACCAGGGCATCGATGTGCTCCTGTAACTTCGCGCTGAAGCTCGAAGCTGTCTCTTTCATCAAGCTTTGCTTTACCTCGGACACCAAAATGGCGGTGTTTTAGGCAAACATGAGAGAGATCAAGATGGGAGATTATAGGGGATATGTATATGTATTTATAATTATTTATATATGTTATAGCATTTGAGAGATCCATTTTTTGGAGATGGTAGGGGAGATGATATGGGATAGGTCAGGTATATTATAATTTATATATCAAACTTTAAGCTTGACCTCAGAAAATTCGCGACATATAGTGTAACAGGTATTATTTACAACCCGAAAAGTGACTATCATTTATCTAGAATGGGTTGGAGTGACCCCCCTCAGTGGCATATTATATGAGAATATATGAGATATTGTCTTCACAACGTCATTCCATTGTAGTGGTTGGTTAAGAACGGCATTCCCCGGTGAAAATGAATACATAATGATCATCCCCAAGATGGCAAAGGTTGGTGAAAGATTGACCTGATGGACCTGTCCCAGTCATCTATTTAGTTTTGGAATTTCCATGGAAACTAAACCAGCGAACTTGGGAATCCCCCATGGCCTCGGAAACCCCCGACTGAAGAATGGACAGAGAATCAATGGAGTGGTTTTGGAAAGGCTTAGCTGGACACCCATCTGGACAATTTACAATCATTCGCACCTCGTCACCTCGTCGTTAAGTCGCACGTGTGACGTTTCACCGTGCCTCGTTAATTCTACTTTTGGGAATTACTGGGCTCATTCTTGTACCTGACACATCGCGGTGGTTGGTTGGTCGCAGGTACAATGCTTCTATCAGGTTCCGAGGGGAAAAAACTTTTCAGCCTGTGAATTTGTTTTTCCCATATTTCTTCGGCCCCGTAGCATTTGGCGGAGGGTTAGGGAGCATTGCACTAGCGTGCCATGGCTTTGCGAGTGCTGGTGCAGTCACACTTAGGATCCCCTTTGGCACCATCCTAAGTGTGACTGCACCAGCACTCGCAAAGCCATGGCACGCTAGTGCAATGCTCCCTAACCCTCCGCCAAATGCTACGGGGCCGAAGAAATATGGGAAAAACAAATTCACAGGCTGAAAAGTTTTTTCCCCTCGGAACCTGATAGAAGCATTGTACCTGCGACCAACCAACCAGAAGAAACTTTTCAGCCTCTGAAAAGTTTTTGTTGGTCCATCTTCCACTCCAAAAGCAAGCCAAGGCATCACCTCGTGGGATAATTAGTTAATTCACCTCGTTGAGGACTGCTAAGTCTACCGTACCGCACCTCGGCTGACCTCGCTCAGCCAATTGTGCAGAATGGGCTTCTACGGAAGAGATATGGGACACCTGTAAATGCTCCGCTGAAAGTATGCTAAAACTGAAGGGGTCGAGGGTTGGAAAGTGGTGTTTTACTGAACCATGGTTGAAATAGTTGAAATATGGTTAAAAGCGGATTGCAGGTTGATGTTGATTGTTTTTGTTGACACATGTTGAAACAACCTTGATTTCAACGGCAAACGTTGGTCCCAACATGTCCTAGCTCTAAATCTAATCGAGTACCCCATTCCATCCCAGTTTATTGTACCCTCTGGTAATTTAACATAGCTATTGAAAATGACCATTTATAGTGGATTTTCCCATTGAAAATGGTGATTTTCCATAGCTATGTTAGTTTACCAGAGGGTAATCGTTGTTCCATCATTTTCTCATCAAAAAATACCCGGTACCTTGTGGGGTATAGACACACCCTTTCGGCCGAATTCCCAATCCCTTCCCCCCAATATTTAAACAACCCCCCAGAAACCACAGTTTAGTAGGGGATTTCCACATTCCATTGGGACCATAAAAAGATGGCGTTTTTCATATTAGTGGGATGGGAAAAAACATGGGATTTCAGGTCACTGTTGGTTACTCATCCCCCAGTTCCAGTGGTCCATGGAACCCCACCTGAAGAGAGTATGAAACATAAATATCTACCCTAAGATTTAGAAAAGTGGGGAACCTGGAAATATGTCTCAAAGATCATTTACTATAATATTAATAATCACCTGGAAACACGTTTCTTTCTGTTTTTTGGGACATACGGTTGTATAATTATCATTCACAAACCTGAACTCAAATTGCAATGATTCTACTGATATCATTTGTCTTGGTCCATGTTCAACTCCTGAGGATTCCGATGTCTCAGATCTTCCCCTGATCCACATGGAAAAAAAACATAAAAAGGTGGATTCGGAACAGAAGGGAAAACCCACGGAAAATCATCATTTTCTCCTTAAAGTGATGTAAAATGGCCATTTTACAGAAGAAACTCCGCTCGCTGCCTAGCCATTTTCACATTTTCCAGGTCCAGGTCCCTGTCTCAAACACCTTCCGAGGCAGAAACCAAGGCGCCTTTTCCATAGAGGATGATGCATCGGCTTCGGGAACGTTCAGGATGTAGCTGACAGTGAGATTGCCAGGGGCAGTCACCACCATCTGCAAATCCTGCAGCTGCTTCTGTCGAAAATCACCACATCGAAGTATAAAATTGGAGGTGAAAATTCCCAAGATTGGATTCTTTGATGTTGAACTTTGATGAAAATCTGAAAATTTAGATTTTGAGATGTTCCTCAGTCTTGTTGTTTCTTCCCTGCTGCCCCAGAGGTTGAAACATGTTGAAACCACTTGCACTTCCAGAAAAAGTTGGCTTCATGTCAAGATACAGCAATGATTCATGACAATCTATGTAGACCCAACAAAGAGTGGGATTTGCTCGTAATATGTATATGTGTGTATATATATATATGTACAAATATATATATATATATATAATTTAATTATATGTGTATACATATATATATATAGAGATAGAGAGAGTGGGACTAGTGGGTAAACCTATACGGTAGTTAGGAGTACTCTCTCTCTCTCTCTACATACATACATGTATATATACTACATTAATTGGTTTACGGTTTACCACATTACAATGTACCATCAACACCAATAACCGTAGTTAGTGTAGTTTGGGGAGTCTTCTGGAATATCCCTTTTTTCAGCTGGAAACCATACACTGAAGACGGTCTGAGTGGTCCTGTTGATAGTATGTTGTCTTTCATTTTCATGATCAATCATTATCTTCATGATAGGTTACCTATAAATATTCATTGTTTTCATTATTCATTATCTTATTGTTTCTTCATTTTCAACCGTGGTTGATAGCTACATGGCAGTCAAAACCGGACCCAAATTTTTACCTTCAACTGGCTGATATAGCTGGATGGTCATTCCCCCAGTCTGCTACATAGGTAACTTGACCCATCCCCATATCTTCAGCATCATTGGATGTACCAGATACCCTCTGGTAAACTAACAGTTCGCGAACTGGAAAATCACGATGTTTAATGGCTAAATCCACTATTTCGACTGGGCCATGTTCAAGTTCGCAAACTGTTAGTTTACCAGAGGGTATTCCTTTTCAATAGCCATGGAAAATGGCCCATAGAAAAATCATAGAAATAGATGGTTTACCTATTAATCGCATGGTGGATCTTTCCATGTTTTTTTGTATGTAGAAACCAGAGGATATTCACATTTCAGGAAGAACAAAATTATCGACTTCGTCGGATCCGGATCCAGAACCGGACCATGTTTTTTTACCATCTGCGAAACCTGGGTATAGCACCTGATGTCAGACGCACGCACCATCCCCCACACATACCACCTTTTTGATAGGTGGTATAGTATGTTTGCCATTCCCAAACGGGTGGTTTATCCCCGACCCCAACTGGTTCAGGAGTAGGGGGGGTGGATCCTACATTTCTGATAATGTATGGGAACTAGGGGGGGTAACCCCTCAAAATGAGGCATGTATGAGTGCCAGATGCTGGAAATGTATTATTGGTAGGGGTATTGAACCTGAAAATGTATGCTTTGTGGGGGGCACCACTGACAAGAGCCAATGGATACATAAACTTTTCTAAATGTATGCAAGCATGGGGGGGTCTGCACCTCAATCCAATTGATCTTTTTTTTCCTGGGAAACCTACTGAAACCCATGGGGAAACCTGGGAATACCTGAGGTCACCGAAAATTTTCTGCGCTGAAGACCCTGTTAGCTTACGCTTTTGGATTTTTTTGGAAACAAACACATGCAAACATATGCAAACACGATCAAGCACGCATCGCTCCCACTCCGAAGACATGACACTATTTTCTGAAATGTATGCATTGCAGGGGGTACCAATGACTACCTTAGCCAGATCTATTCCCTCCATTTTCCAAAAATGATGTGCTTTTCGGCTACCCAACCCCCTTAAAATACATATTTCAAAGAAGGGTATTCCCCAGAAAAAAATTAAACATTCCCGGGGATCCTGGAAAAACCAAACCCGTAAAATGTATTAAACCACCCCCCCAAAATAAAAGATCCTGGGGGGGGTTGGATATCCCGACCCATGGATCCTACATTTAACGTACACTCACCGGTCAAATAATGTATTTAGGGGGGGTCCTGGGGAATCACATTCTTGGAGAACGGTAAATGTATTTTTTTTAGCTGACCTCTCCCCCCCTAAAATACATGTTTAGGGGTGGGTGATGGTGGTTTGTTATTACTGTTTTACCAACATTAGACATAAATTCATTCAGTTTCCCGCAAAAAGAATGTTGGTGAACATCTATCATTGAGTTATTTTACAGCTATCATCGGAATTGCGATCCAGTCAGCACAAATGAATGAAAACAAAATATGAGTGGGACAAATACTTTTTGTAACTTCCAAAACGATAGAATTTGGTAAAATCTATATCTTGTTAAAAGTAGTGATGAATATAAATGGTCTGATGACAACATCCTACAAAGTCCCCAAAAATAGTGAATGTATAGCACAATCCTGACTTCTATATCTTTTTATATCGTTCTGGGTCTTCCAGTCAGAACTTACACCAACTTACCCAACTTACCTGCCTGCCATCCCCAACCGCCATCCATCGATCCCCTTGAGATCCCTTGAGGTTCCGGACCACCTTCTCCTTCCCCAAGCCGGTGACTTCCTCCATGGCTTCCCTATAGGCAGTGGAGACCCGACTGTCCGTGACATACCTGGGCGGGTAGCCGCGCCATTGAAAAAGATAGAGCGGGTAGCCGTTTTGGATGTAAACCAACCTGACAATAGGGGGAAAAACGACATAGTGTAATAGTTATTATATATATATATAAAATATGCATGTATATTGATGCGCATCCCTGTAAGTGGTTTATACATGTTTATACATGTTTATACATGTTTATACATGTTTATACATGTTTATACATGTTTATACATGTTTATACATGTTTATACATGTTTATACCCATATGGGGTATAGTAACAATGGATATTCCAGATACAACTGGGGTACTTCTTTTTTAGCCACATATTGATTGGTATGCAGCACCATGGAGGGTAAACATACTTCTGAACCCCCCAACTTTCGACACCCATCCTTTAAGTGGTGTATATTTTATACATCATTTATTTATCTAATGTTCAGGGTAAGTATACCCTCAAGCAAAGTTACTTCGATGTGACAAACCACGTATTTGTATGTCACTTGGGGAAGCCATCCGGTTTTCTGTACATTACCAAGCGCTAATTTACATTGCCAATCTTGGATTGCTTCATTTATAGTATAGCCAAAAAACAGTATTTTTTTAAGAGGAGCTAGCAAATAGCTGGCACTTTGTTAAATGGGCAACAAAAACTTGGTTTTTGATCCATATAGTTCAGATATAGTATTTCTCAGTGTATTTCATCATAAGTCATACCCGCTGGTAAACTCACAGTTTGCGAACTTGAAAATGGCCCAGTCGAAATAGTGGATTTACCCATTTTCATAGCATGGTGGATCTTTCCCATCGGTTTTTTGTATGTAGGTTTACCAGGCCTTGTGTATCAGTTTTTTGTATCCACTACCCTCTGGTAAACGTTATATAACATAGCTATGGAAAGATCCACCATGCTATTAGTGGGAAAATCCACTATTTCTATGGCCATGTTCAACAGCTATTTTGACATAACCAGAGGGTATCCATCCACTCGGCGCTTTGTTCAGGCACCTCGTCTCATCTTTGACGCCAGTAACTTTGATACGGACCACCAGCCTGGATGGGATGGGTCGCACATTTTGTTTGTATCGGATGGTAACATCAAAGATGAATCAAACCGGGTTTTTCACAAAGGATCCACAAAATTCCAACTCAAAGTAAAAAGGATGGTGTAAATATATAATTTATATCATGATGTTTTGTTGAAATGATGAAACAAAATATAATCTGGTTGGAAAGCTCTGATTGTAGTTCCGAGTAGCTCCTTATTGAATATGAAATATGTATACCCATAGCCCTGAATCACTCCCTCCTAACCACCAGATAGAACATGATCAAGCCATTTCAGTTAATCTGAAACATTGTTTGCAAACTCTGAATGGATGTGGATGTTGATTATTGAAGATGAGTTGGAACCATCCATGATTCTTGGCAAGGCGCGTTGCATGAATCGCGAGGCATTTTCAAAGAACTCCACTAGATATTGATGGATTTCATAAGGATGGCGGGAGGGATGCTCAAAGTCATTGTTTCGACCCTCAAAAGTATTGACTTTATCTGGTTGGTGGTATACCTACCCCTCTGAAAAATATGAAAGTCAGTTGGGATGATGACATTCCCAATATATGGCAAAATAAAAAATGTTCCAAACCACCAACCAGTAAATGTTGGGCAGGAGACAACCCCACCTTCTAAAGGGTCCCTCACTGCCAGCAGCAGTGGTCCATGTTGCTGTGGTCATCGTTGCCGTGGTCTCTGTTGCTGTGGTCATCGTTGCCTGAGACGAGGCCATGCGATTCTACGGGAGAGGCCCCGGCAACCGTCATGGGAACGTGATATCAACGAATGGCGAGAAAAAATAGGTCATGTGGAAAACCCAATGCTGTAAACCTATGATTTTTTTGTGGTTTCAACCCATAAAAATGGTGAATATGTGGGATGATCTATGGTGATCTATGGTGAATTGATGATAAATCCGTGAACTTGGGGACTTGGGGATACTTCGTTTCGGGACAAACCCACAAAAAGGCGTGAACTCCACAAACATTGATGGATGGTGACATGATTAAATCAATGTTGTCCTATCACATTCTACAAAAACACTTGAAAAAATACCACCATACCAACAAACAAGTGTTGTTACGATGGTGGTATGGTGGTATGGTGGTATGGTGGTCTGGTGGCATGGTGATATAATTAAGTACAAAAAAACACACTAAAAAATTATGGGACAATCACACCATTATACCATACCATACCCAATTGTCCCTTAAAATCTACATGGGTCTCATGCCACCCATTGAGTGGCTCGATGCCAAAACATGAACATCACGTGGCTCAAAAATCATCACGTAGGCACTTAGCAAACAACTATATATATATATATATGTCTTAGATAGATATCTTAATATTCCTATATATATAGCAAATAAATATATAATTTATATAATCAATATAGCAAACGACTAGTCTTTAAACATATATCATGTATCAAATCATATCATTTCGGCTGTGTACTTCTGACGATTGGTATCTGATAAAAAACTATACAACTAGTAGCAGAGAAATAATCCATCAACATTCCATTGGCCAACCATTCACCTCTAGGCTTACGCATGGCAAAACTCCTCTGTTTGATACCATCTGGTTATTTGTTACAGTTCGCCATGGAAAGATCCACCATGCTATTAAGAATGGTAAACCATCTATCTCTATAAGCCATCTATACCATGGCGAACTGTTGGTCATAACCAAATAACCAGGTCAGATTATTATTACCATCATTAACCATATAGTAACCATGTATAACATTATTAATAGTATATTAACCAATGGTATAATCCTTAGTGTTGATGGTAAAACTATGTTCAATGGTGAACCCATCATTGACTGGCTAAATGTTCAATAGCCGACCATTCATCGAAGGTCACCACAGATAAAAACTCCGGTAGTCTTACCCAACAGTCACCTAGCCTATAACGATGGTTTACCAGAGGTACCCTATTGACCCCACAGTGAAAATCACATTTTCTTTGGTTATGGCTATATCATGTTGCCATTTTGTGCTGTTAAAACCCAAGCCCAGCTTTACCTCTATCCTTTTCACAGCATAATTTCTATCATGACCAGTCTGTTCTAACACCATCTTTGTTGGTTAAAAGGTGCTAAGACTGTTTACATCAACATGTTTCTCATAAGTTGTTTGACTACAAAACCACCATTGTATATTGTTGTTTCAACCTGCTTAAACTTAAACACCTTAAAACATATATAAAAAAATAACAACATTCTCAACATCCTTCACATCCCAAACCACCAACCTCCCCCAAAAAATCTGCGTGCCGCGTGGCCGTGCTGACGGTCGTTGTGCCCGTGACCGTCGACCTCGTGACGCTCGTGGTCGCCGTGTGCGTCACCGTGCTGCCGGTGACCGTCGCCGTTTTGGACGTCGCCGTCAGCGTCGACGTCAGCGTCGCAGTCACAGTGGTGGCCGTGGTGCTCGAGGTCGTGGTGTGGGTCTGCCGGGGGCCATTGAAAGTCGATGTGAAAAGGTTGATGGTGGTTATAGCAGATAGATGTAAGATGCATATGTATACAACTGTATGTATATACATATATCTATATACAATATCTATAATTATATATATATATATATCTATATACCCTCTACCGGTCTGGTGCCTCTTTTGGAGGAAAGGCCATGTTTCGGCATCTGCAAAATGGCCATGTGCAAAATACGGCCCTTTGTTTAAAATACGCCCTTTGTGTTTTTGGGCAAAATTCACCATTTCCAAGTTTGTAAGGATTTTGCCTCACCCATAGTCATGCACTCCTTTTCATCGCTAGAGATGTGGCCGAGCTGATCAACTTGCCACCGATCTTGGCTGAAACCATCGCAAGAGCTTTGAAAGTGTTCACAAAGTACTGCAAAAATTAACACACATGACAAGCTATGCCTTCAAGATTTATCCAAGATCTGGATATGCATTCAGACCACGCTGGTCTGCAGCAGATTGCTTCAATGATACCTGAATTTTTATCAGGCTTCGCCACAAAATGCTTCTGTGAGCCTGCCTGACATTTGTCGACCTAGAGACCTTCGAAGGCTTTCCTATGAAATCCTCCTCCTGCTGGCATGCTGTGGCCAACGGAGAAAGAATCCATTCGCATCTGGACGACAAGCGAAGTAGCTTGAGGGCTGTATGACATAGCATGTGTGACTTTGGATAAACAGGGAATCGGCGATGGCCACTTACCAAAGTCAAGTGAGCACAAACGGCAAAATGCCCCAAGAAGGAGAAGAGCCACCGGGACACCTGCCGAGCATTTGATGCTTGCAGCCAGAGCCCATTCTCATAGAGGTAGGTGACGGCAATGTTGACCGCCTTCGTCGCAGCAGCCTCAGCAAAAGCAGGCAAGAGGAAAGGAAGAAGCCAAAAGCCTGGGAAGAAGGACCTGGAATTCCTAGACCTAAAACACACAGGGATTCAACAAACAAAGGGCTGTCACGGGGTTGCATCAAAATTCGATGGATCGGTCTGGATCACCTGTCTTTTGATATGGATCAGGAGTATGGATCGGCCTGTGGATTCGGGGTATGGATCGGGGTTTACATTTTGACTCGCATATGCAGTCCAAGAACAATTGCTTTCATCAGAGGGTCGGTCGCATCTGCAAGATGGCCTTGGCACAACCAATCCAGGAATCTCATGATTTGAACTGTGGCCATTCCCTTGTTCCATTTTGCAGCTGGGCAAGCACTGCTCATAGGCCAGCACACTGTGTCTCGTGACAACTCACTTACCCATGGCTTGGATCGCCGTGTGCGGAAAAAGTCTTGATACATCCCGGTAAGCCTTTCAAACTTTGCCTCAACAGATCTACATCCATCAAAAAGAGGCAATGGAGGGTCAGCCTCAACCAGACACACCAGAGCAGAAGATGTAAAGGACTTCAGCACCCCCAAATGCACATTGTGGAAAAAATCTGTCTCGAAGAAATCGATCGCTCGTTGGTCATCCAAATCCAAGCCTTCCAAAATGGTAGGAGCGACCTCCCACGGCAACGATGTGCCCATGGTGTCCTCCCAAATTGGCTGCATAGTCACGTCCTCATACGGCAGTGCAACACGATTGTTTCTGTCATCCTGTTCCTGGCCTGCTAGACATTTCCAACAGATTCCACGGCAGGGTTTCCTCGATGACGCTGCCTTCGGTGCATGTCCAAAGGTTCGGGTAAAACGTCCAACCTTTGAAAGGGCTGGAAGGTCACCTTTGTGGGCAAGGTGGCAGAACCAAACTTTCTCATCACCATGACCAAGACCTTCATGCAAAAGGCTTCTGGCATCAGCTGCGAATGCCGACAACAAAGTTGAAAGGGCCTCTGGGCTAGCCACATCCTTCATCATGGTTGCTATCAAGCAGTGGGTGCTCCACGTGTTCCCTACATAGTTGAGTCCCTGTGCATTCCGTCGAACAGGGGCCCGGTGCTTATTCTTCTTCAAGAAAGCCAGCGTCCCACGACCAATCACTCCATGGGTGTTTAACACCCACAGGGCCCCATCACGAAAAGTCCTTCCCTCGTCAGAATGAGAGTAATATGGGATCAAACGGTCGCATGAAATAACTCCAGCCCTCTCGAGCGAAAAAACTGGGTGTCCTGGGTCCATCCCTCGGTATCGTTCCCAAAACTCGGCTAAGACTCCTTTCATCTTCTGAAAAGTTGGAACCCCAACCATTTGACGAGGTAGCGCATGGATGTCCAACAGGTGCTTTGCCCAGCTGGATAGCTTCATCCATGGGAATTTTTTCAACTGTTTTTCTTCACCCAAATCAATCCATGAAAGTCCGATTGGGGCACTGTAACCATGTTGAACCAACACCCGCCGTGCACCAACTTCAGCATCAGCCTCCCTAATGGAAGCGAAATCCCGCATCGCATGGGATGCACGCGGATTGCTATCCACCTCATGCTTCGCGATCTGCACCACATGTTTGCAGCAGGCCTCAGAGTGCCAGGAGTGAAATCTAGAGACAGGAACTGTGAAACATGATATTGCGCAGTGAAACGCCAGGAGAAAACTGGTCAGTCTGTTTGTGTTGATATGCTCAGCACTCTTGCTTGAATCAGCCTGAATCTTTTTTTGGCACCACTCGCTATGGCTAGAATGCACTGTCAACCCACTCTACGCCGTTGGTCAGCTCGGCCACCAGTAACATAAACATAATAGGGTCCTGGGGCTCTTTCACTTCTGTTAAGGGCACCCTCACCCCCTGTACCCTCTTTGTTTCGGCATCCAACATGCTTATGAAATTCCATAACTAATGCTGCTTCCAGCATATGAATAAGATCAATGCTGGGTGAAACTGCAATGACCCACATGGCATGGAAACCCAGGTCCATGTACCCTTGGTATCGTTTGATGGGATTTGAAGTGACTCCCACCTTGAAGACGCAAATCCTAATGCCAATTTTTTGGCGGAAACATGTCACAGCTTCTGTACAATGCAGCAGGATCTTTCCGCATGTGGCTCTCGAAAACTGGGCTGGCAATAAACATTTGTTCAATAAACCAAATTTTTTGACATTTTGCCAGTCAAATGAACAGGCTGCAAATGATTCTGCCAAATCACTGAGATGTTGCCGTTCATCCTGAGCACATGCAGGGGGAGCCGGAACCCAACAATAACAGAGTAAAAAAAATCACATTCCAGTGAGTTTGACAACCGGTTCAATATTTTGATATTACCAGTTTAACCGCTTGATAACAAATTGGCTACGAATGTACCATGCTATTGATTCTAACTTACAACACTTTGCTCTGAGTAGCTGCAGTGGTGGCCACATGCGATGGAGGACAGCTTGGCTGGGCGTCTGCACTGGAAGCTGTTTCCAAAGCAGCTGAACCCCTAATAAAATAGTCCATGTAGGGTTCAACTTCTCCCGAAAGATCTTGAACTTCTCTGGTTTTTTCCAGCTTCATTTTCCTAAGTTGTTTGTTTGGACAAAGGTTTGGGAATGCAACTGGAAGTATTGCAGACTTGTTGAAGCTATCCCGGTAGATAGTTGGAACCCTGAGCAGCCAAGGCACTTTGAATATAGTTGACCATTCTCACATCCAGCGATCCGCTTTGCCCCAGTGAAGGGACACTCATAAGTAAGCAAGTCGACGAGATCTTCCATGGGGGTGAACTATGGGACTAAAAGAGAAGCATAGTCGAACACATATACTTATTGCAAATGATAATCGAGATATAGATTCCACATACCATAGTAATGCAATGGATGTAACATGCCCCTTGGCTATAATAACTATTTGTTTAAATGTGATTCCTATAGTGTTCCCAATCGAGGTTGATAACCCAGATCAAAATGTTAGGCCGGCAATATGTTTGGTTTGTGCCAGTTTTTCCCAGTGAGCCAAACTGTGGGGCCGAACAAGTAGGGCAGCTGAAACTTGAACTGCGCAATGCCCCAGGACTTCGTTGAGGCCGCGGCTCCATCTGCAATCAGTTTGGCCAAGCCCTCAAGGACAAGATCTCTGTCATTTTCACCTGGCATGGGCAATGACGGGTGGACACTAAACCTTGTACTTCGGGATATGTATATGAAGAGAGGGGAATAGTTTTTCCATAGTTTTCCCAAATGCTACTTGCATCGCACCAGATCTGTTTTCCTACTCTCTTGCGATCATGCTCATTGATATCTCACGGTCACTGCGCTGCCGTATGTTGCTTTCTGAGCTAACACACATTGAGTCTCACATGTAAAGGACATGGGAAATCCCACATCTTCCAGACTTCAGCCGCATCCCAAATATAAACAAAGTTTTGATTAATTAGTAAGATGCTATATATTGAAAAATGTTTTGTTTCTTGAAGTTCCAGTGGTGATCCAGGACTATGGCTGGTGGCTGGAAAAACCCAAATTTGTTTTCATCGAAGCAAATCACATACAGAATCTGATCTGCATGTGGCCATACCCGGTATCAAAATCCAAACCTAAAGAGGATTTCCCCCCTAGGTCACCAAGGCTCAGAAACTCAGGGTTCACTCATTCCCTTTCTTCACCATCTTGAGCACATTCCTGGGGCTCTGGAATGATGGATGAGTGGGGCAGTACTAATTGGGGAAACATACAGGTAATGACCAGGTGCAAACGTGTAAGCCAGTAGTGGGACACCTGTGATCATGTTGGTTTCATTGGCTAAAGTATCCAAGGATCTTAGCACCAACTTCGGTAGTGGTGACCTTCGAGCACCTAAGATGCAACATCCACTGAAGCCATTGGCCTGAGGCCAAACAGAAACCAGAAACCTGAGTGAGTGAAGTCAAGGCACACAGCTGTTGTCGCACGGATTTGCTTGTCAATCTTGTCCATCAGACTTAGTTAGATCAAGGAACTTGGGGGAATGAAACCATGGGATCGGGTCTCAAGACCCCATAGGTTCTCCAAGTATACTTGGAGGACGTAGGGATTGAACATGTTGGACATATTCAAAAGCGAACATGATCGATAGGCGATGCTGTTTGGGCATGAAATTTAATAACATTCTTTTTAAATCAAATCTCTGGAAATATAGTTCCACCAAGGGACACCTTTTGGTCAGGCTCTGGGAGGTTCTTATTGGACAAGCCTCCCACATCGATCTTGACCAACTCACAGGCCTGGAACTGGGCATCGAGGGTCTCGATGGCTTGCTCCAAGCCTTGCACAGACCTCAGCAAGGGCGAAGGAAGGAACTGGTAGGCCCCATGGGCACATGACATTACTGTTTTTTTTTGGGCATGGAAAAATAAGTGTGGGACTTTGCCACACGCTTCCCTTCAGAACTCTCAGGGTTCTTGTCCCCAAGTTCGGACTCCAATTGGCCAATCAGTTCAGATAGCTTAGAAGAACGGCTCAACAAGCTGGATGTGAACGTTGAGAATCGTTGCAACTCCTCTCGGTTTGAATGATTGGGTGGCTATAGTTATAGAGTGTGGGGGTTGCATTTTTTCATCTATGAACAATAAAGAAACTACACACGAAGATCCTTCTGCCCATGGTTGACGACCTTTGCATTGGCCTCCTTTTCATCGTCATCATCATCATCCTCTTCAGTATCATCATCCCTGGGGTTCCCAATTCGCAAGAACTCAACCTCCTGGCCATTGGCATCCTGCATGGTTTGAGGTTGGCTGGAAGAGGTGGTGGACAAGAACATGAAAGACACAGCTGGACGATTGGAAGGCACAAGGCCTCCGCAGTCTCGTGTCGGCGCTGTTCTTCGTCTTCAGAAAGATCCTCCTCCTCCTCTTGGTAAACCACATAGTAGCGCTTGAGCTTCTTGTTGTACCGGTCACGCCTTTGGGCGTTACAGCTAGGTTAGCCCCCGAAAGAACGGTGAGTCATAGAGCTTTTCCATGTTTTTAATTTAGCCCATGCAGCTATGATCTTTGAATAGTATTGATACAGTTATCCATATATTATTCATATCAATTTTGTGCTGGGGGAACCAATATTGGTATGTTATCCAAATGGTTGAACAAAGTCATACAAGGTGAGCAGGTTTAGCCAAGTGTCTTGCACAGGCGGTCGTTCCCAGTCTTTTCACAGAAATCGACAGCACACTTGATGTAGGACCTGAGATCTCAACCCATTGGGGGTTAACTTAATGTCATATGTTTGGGAAGATGCCCACTAACCAAACACACAAAAAGAACATGGAATGAACCATTGATATCATGTGAGAAGAGGGGCGTGCTCCAACCCAAAGTCTTGGCCATCTCTTCCTTTGTAAACCACCCTCGTTTTTTGCGCCGGGACAGCTTCTTGTTCTGAGAGATCACTTTGGTAATTCGGGAAATGAACATGTCCTGCATAGGCAATGTGATGGCCCATGGGACTATGAATAAAGGTTTTCATTTTTCAAAGTACGACAAATGCTGACAATCCAATTGTTTAATAAGAATGATTTAAGAATGGGTCCTTGGACCAGTTAACTTTCTCCAGCTCTTCTATCATGGCTTCCTTGTCCTCCTTAGACCCATGCTTCCAGCGTTCGTGAACGGAAGCGGGAACCTGGCATTTTCCCGACGGCTTCACTTCGCACAGGCGGCGCAAACGGTTGAGTTTGGCGCCTTCAGTTGCAGGCGGTGGCCGGTCACCAGGGGGCATAATGACCTTTTTGGCCTTCGGGTCCCCCTTTGATCCCTGAGCAGTTTGGGAAACTGGGGTAGGTGATCCCTTTTCGGGTGATGGTGCTGACACTTTCGGGGGTGGAGTCTTGAAGTTGTCTACACGCTTCGTGTTCTCCTTAAGCTGTTGCAGCTCCAATGCCATCTTTCGATTGGCCTCCAGGGCACATGTTGCAAAGTAGGTAAATAGATTGGGGTAAACAGAAGAATCAGCACACACGTGTAAAACTATGTAAAATTGGTGAAAATAAACCAGCTGATAGGCCTCTTGTAACTCCTCAATGATCTTGCTCTCGTTGGGGGGCTGTTTCCCCTTCAATCGCTTCAAGGGTTGAGGATTGGGAGACTTCAGTGGGGAAGGCTCTGGAGACTTAGGGGCTGCCTTTGCTTTGCAGCTGGCTCTGACAGGGGTAGGGACGGCTCTGGTCTTGGCGGCTGCTGCTTTGCGGGCAGCGGGAACTGGCTTATTCTTATTCTCTTTGGTCTTTGAAGAATCCTTTGCTTGGGCCAATTCTTCTTCGGTGGCCTAAGATATTTAAAAAAAAATCCTGACATCACAATATGTTGGTAGCCACTGCTAGGGGTATCCTAAACACTTCTAACCACCAATGCTTGTAGCCAAGAAGCCGGTTGGGTATCATCTGTGGGGCCAGCATTCCCAGCTGCTGCATCTGCCGAAGTAGCCTTAGATGGATTGCCAAGGCAGCAGGTTAAACAGGTGAACTTTAAACCCATCTTGCAATATTTTGGGTTATATCGTATGTCGTATGCATATCTCACCAACCCCCCTTGCAGAAAACATGAACTTCTATCTAAAGGACTTACCAATGGTGCTTTGAGTTTAGTTGTAAGCTATTTGGATTTCCTTAAGCCAAGAAACCTTGGCAACCTGTTTTTTCATGTCTTCAAGTTGTCGTTCATACTCCTCCGCTGTGCGGGCAACGCTGATGATTTTACAAGAGATTGGGTAACATCTACATATCCAACACTGGGGTGTGAAGTCCACATGATCCAGGATTATTGTAATTACTTTTCTTGTTGATTTGATTGGCCATGGTTAACATTTTGATGTTGACCATATCAAACATGATACATATAGCACCCATGGGTTGGCTCCTGAATCTTCAAAGCCAAATCATCTTCGACTTCATTTTTCACCGCTAAGAGCTTGGCCTGACCTTCCTTCAACTCACTGCATGACCATTGCTTGGACGGGACAGCCCGGGGACGCTTGGTGGTCATCCCTCCAACAACAGCAACCGGCAGGTGGTTACCTACCAGTTGCACAATGCCTGGAACCCTAATGCCTGGATCGGATGTGGGTAAAATCAGGTTTAGGCCTTGTGATTTTGATACATCCATGTAAAAAACATGTCAACATATAGTATCCATCCCAAAATCATCAAAATCCACCAAAAAAGACCCAAAATCATTCAAAATTGGACTTTTGGGGTGTTTTCCCGGGTACGGAAAAAGTACGTATTTTTATACGGGTTTTTACGGCCCTTTACGGGCAAAATACGCCCTTTGTACGGGTGGATTTTTCGGGTACGTACCAGGTACGTACCCGGTACGTATTAGTACGTACCCGGTACGTACCCAAAAAATCCTACCATAATCCCTGTAAAATTGACCTTGGGGGAGGTAAAACCCTGCCAAAACTGGTGGGAGTTGAAGTTGTTCTCATTTTTTTGGGGTTCTTGGATGGAAATCATGATACGAACAATGTTGACATCGCATCAAATAACATTTTTGATTGAAACCAACATCAAAAAACATAGCAAAAACATTGGCTCAGCACAACCACCCCTTTGGTTTCAAATAGTGATTCGATGATCCAGCATGTTTCCACGAACCAGCAATTGGGCTCGTACCTGGAAGGGTTACCATGAATTTCCAGCATTACACTGAAAGAATTAATTAACATCCTAGACCATTGGCCATGTCAAATTGTGGCTGGCTTGGTTTAACTTGTTGTTGCTATCTCAGTACCCAACACGCCAAGGTCTATGTCAACACATCAAATTAGATATGGCTTGGGAAAAGTGGCCTCCACTCTCCAAGTTCTAGGTCCTTAGACCCTCTCAAGTAGGCAAACACGCTTTGCATGTTGGCCGAATGAAAATCCCACCAATCACCCCATTCAACTTTGCTGAAAAGGGTGAAGCTATCCTCAATTGGCTCATTTGACACTGGGAGGGCCTCCTTCTTCTGGCAAAAGCGGGGATAGAGATGGACCAACCGTAATCCAAATCGAGGTGGATAGGTCCTCAGGCAACCAAGAGTTGTGGATAACGACCATATGTAATGAGTGGACTTTCAGGGGTTGAAACACAAACAAATACACAATAATACCCAGAAATGGTGTACCATTGAAAAACCAAGACAAGGATCTGCGTGTGTTTTAAGAATTTCGTTCCAACATAAGAGGTCTTACCATCTCGGCTTTTGTAGGACTTGGCTGATTTGGGAGCGTGTGCAAAGAGTCGTCGTTGCATCTCACGGGTCATCACCCCTAGGTTGAGACATTCCACCGATTTGCAATTACTCCATGCAATATGGCGCTTCATTGTTGCAGCTTTGTATGCCCCCATCCACCATGAAGTCTGGTACACCTGCCAGCACTAAACATGAACAATAACGTGTTTTGAAGTTGCATGTTTTACTTATGGTGTCCGCCCAAGGTGTGTTTTCTATTGAAACCACATACCAAAACTGGTGATGACATTATCTTTAGTGGACATGCCTGGTAAAGGTTTTGGAAAACAAACAGTGCAGTTAATATGATATCTTAATATATCTTAATATTATATCTTAATATTATATCTTAATATGATAAGGTGTGATTCTTGATATTTGATATACCTCCTGCGGGACATTCCTGGTTGATTTTTGTTGGCAACAACTGGACATTGACATGGACCCCTAGATGTTGACACAACATTGAGGGTTTAATTTGCCCAATGAGTTTAGTAGCCGGGGACACACCCATGCCAACCTTTGGAAGTGATCTCCAGAGTTGACGGATACATGGCAACCACTCCAAGGCCGAGCTCCTCGGCTGCTCCAGCACCCATGCGCCATCCATCGCAGAGATGGCAAAGATGAGAAGGCATACCCTGGGCTGCGGCTGGGGGCAATGGAACCATAACCTTTTGAAAAACAGAAAAGGCTGGGATCAATGCCCCATGGGCCCCAACAAAACATTGGTTGGTACTTCGGTCTATGTTTTTGAACCCTTTGGAACCTGTTATATTGTAACACGAAACAACTTATTGTGTTGGAATACCCCATTATACGAAGATGTTTTTGAAACAACCTTAGGGCCCCCATCTCTTAATCCCATACCAAAAATACAGCACAGGTTCCGTGCAGCTAAGCAATTGCCAATCTGCACCATAGAGAACTGGGTTTGGCCAAATGGGTCCCATGGTGCTCGCCGGTGGGTTCCAGAAGATATCGCTACAAAGCTACTGCAAATCAATCCGATAACACAGACGAAGGAACCCATTTTGCCATTCAGCACTGTAGACAATGCTAACCTGAGTTCATTAATGAATTCGAGGGCGCATAGTTGGCTAATAATTGGATTCCCTGGGGTTGATTTTGGATTGATTGCTGGGTTAAAACTTGTAAAGACAAAAGGCTTAACCCAACAAGTTATGCGAAAAAAAAAAGTGTAAATAACCAACACAGGAAAGAAACGAGAATCCAGCATCCGATAAGAGATCCATTGCATCCTGTTTGTTGGGGCGTGGGGAACCAAAGTCCAAATCAAAGGATGCAGTTGCTAGTCCACACCCACGCATGCACCGGCTGGCCCACGCACGTCCAGCAAACAGCTCCACAAACTCGTATTTCTGCGCAGCCGGGGCTGGGTACTATTGGTCATCAACTTGTTTGTTTGTTGGGCCAACTAAGGTCACAGCATACCTCAAACTGTATGAAGTACTGTATAATATGTACAAAGTAATCTATCGAATTTGGGCATGTGATTTGGATAGCTGTTGGGCTTAAAATATTTAAGAACATTTGCATCAGAATACTAGGGTAGATCCTTCCTTGGCCAACCCCACCACAAAGTTAAACATTGTTGGGTATCATGAGGATACAAAATCTATAATCAAACAAAATTGTGAAATCATTTGAACTTGGCGAACCGTCATTGTGAGAAAGTGTTGCCCATGGTGATGTTTGCCTCCCCGGCCTCTGAGAAAATTTCCACTTGGGGGTTCAAGCAAAGGAGGACGGTGCAGGCCAGCAATACCTGCAGCATGTTTCCCAGCTAAGGATTGGGTTGTAACCCTATGGCTACTTGAACAAACAAATGTTATCAATGAAATATGTTTCAAAAATCGATCCCAGCCTGTGGGGCACCCAATATTTTCATCCGGGAAAGCACAACATCCAGCTTCCTCTTCCGATCTGGGTTCATGGCTGGTGCCTAAAACCGATCAGTGCTAGTGGGGCAAAAATGGCTATGGTCCCGGGGGTACATTTGTTTTTGAAAATACATATGTTCATCAACCCACAAAATTCTCTCCACTTGTGGATGCAGCCCTGGGTAAACTAAAGCCAGGCCAGCCAAAGTCCTCCGGTCGTCTCTCAGCAGCCATGTGGCCTGGCGAAGATGGAAATGTCACAGTGGCTCTGGATGTGTCGAATAAAAGCAATGGGGATATATTTGAGATATTATAGACATTATCCAGGGCATAACTGGGATCTAACCAACGCTGAGAATACTAAGATCACCACCCATTCACATGACTATAGTTTTTAACTATCATAATTTCAAGGGGGAGAAGCTTAAAAGAATTGAAACCAGTCCAGCCATGGGGTCCCTTTTTGATCCAAAAAATTATAAAAGGTTTCATCCCCATTTAGACTTTCTGATAAAAAATGATTGGGGCCAACCGGGGTCAACAGTGGGATAGCAACACACTCTGCGGATAAAGTTTTTCCCAACATCTTCCATAGTGCTGGCGGCAACAGCTACTGTAATCAGTTGCTGTACGGCAACCTTTTCGCAATGGATCCTTAACTTGATATCATCTTTTTCAATGCAGGAAAATGATATGGTTAATTTTTATGCGAATGAACATATTTGATGGTGACATGATGTTCCTTACCATGAGTGGATCCCATCGCTGTTGCAAGAGCAACGGAAGCTAAGCTAGGGTTTGACACGTTGCAAATTGGTTCCCAAGAATTTTCAGGTGCATCCATTGTCAGATGCCAGAGCCCGACAGGGAGCCAGTCATACCCCCTCAGAAAGCAAAATACTTGGTTGACTTGAACCACAAATACTGTTTTATCTTTTGGTTGGGGACATGCCCAAAAGGAAAAAAAAATAGGGTTCAGAGAGTCATAGCTCACAAAACGAGGCAAAGACTTGGCTCAATAGTATGCCCCTCACTCAGATAACATAGAAGTTAGATAAAGGGTGGCTGCTTCGTCAGCAATCTCCTCCATGTTGTCCTCATCGACCTCGATCGTCACCATCTTTTCGGTAGCGAAGTTCCAAAATGGATCCTGCAGAAGAAACAGATGGTACAAACAATTGGTCCCTTGTTGGTCCCCTGTTCTTTTTTACATACTTTACCTTCGGGGTTTACCACTGAAATCAATGCCCCAGTTTTAGAATATCACAGTTTTATAAAACCATTTTAGGTTATAAGATTAAGATATTAAGGGTTGATATGGTTTGATATAGATTGTAGATTAATTATTTTATCATACAGTCACAGCATACAAGTTGTAAGTGAACCAATGTTATCAATGATCCATCTGCTTAGTCAGCGGGATCCCTTGCCCAAAAAAGTTTTAACTTTTTTTGGGTTGGGTGTGAAATAGATACCCCCCGAGCGCACGAACCCAACCCAAAAAAAAAATTAGAATTTAAACGCTAGCTGGGTCAGTCTATATCATCTAGTAGCAATTATCTGGCCCACTATGGATCTACATTCCCAATACTGTTCAACATATAAAGCACAAATATATATATTTTATATATACACTGCATATTCTATATATGCATAAAACCCCATTTCTAGAATAGATGTCTACAGTGTGCACAAAACACTTCTAAAGTTTGCATTGTGCTGGCACGGCGTGCTGACTTGTCCTAAAAGCAAAGAAACAATTTGGAAAATGGAGCCCTCAGGGTCATGTTGAAAGTAGCCTGTCAGAACCATCAGAATCGGCTACTTTGAGGCCATGGGTAAATAAATTTGATGGAATCAAACGTCAAAGTCAAAAGGAAGATGGTAGCGGAGAGTTTCTGGCATAAAATCTATGCAACCACAACAACGGCGCCCCCTTATCCCAAATGTCCTCATGCTTGGATGGGAAAGGGACAGCCGGCTTGATGAATTGCACAAAGGCACGGCGAAGTGCGGACCACTTCGCCATTCCAAACTTGGAGCGAGGCTGAACCCTCCTGGCAAAGGTGTGGGTGTCCTTCTTCTCCTTGGTCTTGCCCTCCTTGGACGAGTCCTTGGCGGCACCCTTTGTAGATCGCACCTCCTTTTTCTCATGCCCCTTCTCCTTCTTCTCATGCCCTTTGTCTGCACTGGCTTTTCGCTTGCGAGTGGCCTTTGAAGGCGCACTGGTCGGCAAAGCATCCTCCACCTCAGGGGCAGCAGCTGGCAAAGCATTCTCATCACCACCAGCTCCTGAAACTTCTGCCTTCTTTGCCCTTTTCCTCTTTGGCTTGACAAGATCTTCATTGCCAACTGATTCCGCCTGACTGGCACTAGCAGCTTTGCTAGCAGAAGCCTGCTTCCTTTTGGGGCGTTTCTCAGGCTTCAAGGGTACGCTATCACCAGCATCGCCACAATCCATGTCCGTGGGAACCTTCTCGGGCTTCTCCGACGAAGCATCAAGCTTGAGCGTCTTGTCCATGAGCTCTGCAACCTCAGAAATCTGACCATCTTGGTCAGGTTCATCAGCAGCCTCTTCAGCAGCCACAGGCTCTGGGGCCACTGAGTTGGCTTTGGCTTTCGCCTTGCCACGACCTTTCGGTCGGCCCCTCGCCTTGGCCTTCGGAGCTGCTGCTGGTTCTTCGCCAACATCAGCGTCTTCCAACTTGTTCTTCAAAGCAAATTGGGCACGCCGAAGGACCTGGTCAATGCAAAAGCTTGAGGCAAACCCAGGCAATGGAAAGACAGGGATAAGCTGATCAATCCCTCTAAGCTTGACAAGCCGAATGTGGCTTTGAAGTTTTTATCTATCCCTCCCCTGACCGACCCCATATAGATCCCAGTGGTGCAAACATCCAGCCATAATCCCAGCCCAGTTCACTGAGAACATGTTTCAAAACACCGGCTGACAAGTTGCAGTTGGGGCAGATGGGAGATCAGGCATTTCTGAATGGAAATTGCCAGCCAAGAGGTCAAGCTCCTTGGGAGCCAATGGCTGCGTCTCCAGTTCGTCACCACCAAATGGCAAGCTTTCCATCACATAGAAAGGCTCAGTGGAGGCAGGGGCAACTGCGACCTTATCCAATGATTCTTTCGCTTTCCTAAGCTGTGGCATGAGCTGGTGGAAAAAATGTCAACCGCATGTGGGGTCAGTGAAAATGATGTGAAAAAGAAGGGGAAACATTTGCCCATAAACATGTATCCAAAGATCCGGGCCATCTGCTCCCTCTTGGCGTCACACAGCAACTTCTGAAGACGTTTGATTTCCATGGAGATCTCATTCTTGGATTCAGAGGTGGGATCAGCTTTGCATGGGCTATCCTCAATGACAACCAACTTGTCAGCCTGCTCTTCCATCTCCAGCCCTTTGATGGGGACAGGGCTCAGATCAAGCTGCGAACTCGGAATTTCCGGGGTTCTTGGTGCTGGTGAATCCCACTCCTTGTTCACAATCTCATCATCAGCGCCAGCCTCAACTTCTGGCACCGGGTGTGGCTGTGAATCAAGTTCACATTCAGCATCTGAGTCGACATCATCCAAGTCAATGGTGTCTGGAGAATCTGGATCTTCCGGGACGGCAGCTGCAAGACTCTTGGAAGCCTCCTGGAAATGGGCACAAGATTTTGAATCACAGGTGCTAAACAAAGCTTACCAAGAAGAGGAGAGTGCCCAAAACCATTCACAAAGAATCCAATTTGTCCAATCAATGTCAAATGAATACTGAGAAACAACAACTTGACCATCACCAATGAATGGCAAGATATCCATAACCAGCAACAAAAGGCTTGCCACCAGAGTTGGCCCAACCAGTCCTCTTGGTCCAACCCATAGACAAGGGCCATGAGTTTTCTGAACACATGGCTGCGGCAAAGCTGGTCACGATTGAGTTTCTTCTTGATGAGCACCATGAAGCCTTTTGCTAGCTTGGCCTGCTTCTTCAACTCTTTGAGTGCAGGATGTGGAATGGTCATCAGCTCGTAAAGTTTCTTGATCCTTATCATATTTCAAAAGCCAGGTGCTGGTCATGAAAGAAGCTGCCCCATTCAAACAAAAAACTGATGAAATCACTGATGGAAACTTGATCCCTGGAAAAAAATGTTTTCTGACAAAAGTCTGTTTCATGAGGTCTGGGACCTTCATTTGCCCTATTGAACCATCTTCCAAGCGTAGCCTCATTGCAAGGGGCTTCAGCACCTCGAAGTTCCGCTCTCCACAAGCTACATTGCAGTAAGGGGAATCCTTGCGAAGCTCTGGAGCAAAAAGCGTCCGCTTCACCCTCATGTGCTCCCTAACGGCTGGGCAGGCATCCCATTCCTCAGCTAAACCTTCTACGGAAGGTGCTGCCATGGCGCCAGCACCACAGGAAGAGATTGACAGCTTGTGCCCAAAAAGAATCCTATTTGAAGGAATGATGAAACCATTCTCATGTGAGAGCACAAAGGATGCCCCAAAAGGAGGTGCCAACTGATAGCCTTGTGATCTATCTATGTACAACCAGTGCACATGTACACTAATAGAAATATGTTCACCAGAAAATTTAAAGATTGCATGTTGGTTCCCCTAGTAGTTCTTTAACTAAAAGGCTAACAGTTGTATGTAAACCCCCTAATGCCCATCATAAACCCATCGTAAACTAAATCGTTCAATAATTTAATTTATATTGGGGTACTTGGTGTTTCCTCCTACTTAGTAAGTATTGCGCCAAATATATAAAATATTGCTGAAGGGTATTTAGGATTAGCAGGGTTACATCATTGGGGCAATTACTTACTAAGTAGGATGAACCACCAAGTTTATTATTGGGATCTACTCAGGTTTCCCAAGTTTGATCTCAACCCTGGCGCCCAGGCCCAAGCCTCCATAGCCAGATCGAACTCGATGTTGTCGAAAAAAAACCGCTCTGATCCCGTGGCGGCTGGAAAGAGGTTGTGAAACCCCTGTTGGGAGGGACATCCCAGAATTAATCTTAACTTATCATATCATATCATATCTTATTATCCATTTTGGAGGGTTTAATCTTGGGTTTCCATCAACATGAATTTTTGGGATGATCAAAAAACAACCTTTTACAAAATACGGTCTTTTACCCAAAATACGGTTCTTTACCCAAAAGATGATCTTTTGAATCCAGGGATGTATTATTTTTTGGGTACCTAAATTTAGGGGTCTATCAGGTTCAGGGTATCTATATGTGACGATTCAAAGTGCTACTATTTCTCCTCTGGGCCATCATTCTCGGAGTATGTAGGATGCTGATTTCAACACTCCTCCTCTGCTAAGACGTGTATTACGTCGAAGCAGGCATGCTATTGGTAGTGGAGCCTGGCACGTGTATGCTCTTTTGCAAGCATGATGCTTCAGGCAACACCACCACACTCATCGCCATCATGTGCTTGTCGATCGTTGCGCTACTGCTTGATTTTGTCATGATATCTGAAGGGTTGTGGGCAGTTCCAATCTTGCGAATAACTGCCCTTTCTGCTTGAACCACTTGTTGCAGCCAGAGATATCTCGTCATCACATGACGTTGTTTTCCCAAGCCAACTCTCGAAGCGAATGCCTTTGCCGAACTGCTATCGCTTTCTATCACCAAGCCAAAGTTCAAACCCAAATCTGACATGAATGCTTGTAGGCCTAAACCATGAGCTGTCCCATGAACCAAAGCGTAGTATTCAGATTCAGAAACATTCAAACCAATAACTGTCTGCAAGTTGCTGGTCGCCTTTATCACATGCCCTCCAAGAAACTGAACCATACCAGTTGTTGATTTCCTACCCACCTTGCATCCAGCATAGTCCGAATCTACACAAACTCTCACATGGTCAGGCATCCGTTGCTGTCGATAGACCAAAGCCACATTCGGTCTGAAGACCAGATACCTCGCCTTTCGCTTGAGCATCTCCCAGTGTGCCAGCCTAGGGCGAGACATGCCCTGAGCAAGACGTTTCACTGTTTCTGCAAGGTCACAACGTTCTTGGGCTAAGAAACTCGCTCGCATCACTGCTGAACGATACTGTGAAGCTTGTTGTGGTGGTAGTTCTGCAGAGAACTGCAACTGGTGAGCCTGCTCTTCCGTAGGCTTGACTGAAGGGGTAGTCACGCCATTTGAACTGTTTGGATTCACACCAGCTGTTTGTAAAATCAGTTCCACATGTCTCTTGTCGGGCTCGATCTGAACCCAACGCCGTCCTCCTTCGTCATGACCTAGTTGAACAACTCGGTTGAGCACTGTTGCAGAGCGAACACACCCTTCACCAAAACCAAGGCGATGGGCCTCACGCATCTGATATTTTGAACCCAAAAGCTCTTTCATCTTGTCCACCGCTGCAACTGGCCCCAAAACGTAGAAATCATCACCATGAACCGCACCTCGAGAACAGCTCTCTTCGTTGTAAAACAAAGCAGGGTTTGCAGCACCAACTCGGTATCCACCACCTTCCAAAAGCTTCTGCCAGTCTTTCATCCAACCATGGCTTGCATCACGGAAGCCATACATGTTTCGCTTCAGCTTCCCAACCAGATCTTCACCAGGAACTCGATCTTCAGGAGGTAGTTCAATGTATAGCTCCCGCTCCACCTTCGGCATAAAGTGTGCGCGGGAAATGTCATAAACCCCCATGACCAGTTCCTGTCCACCAGCTGTTGCACTCTTAGGTAGGTCAGTTACTAGGAGTGAAAACAAACTCTTCACTGACTCCCAGGGCGGAGTCGCACTGAAAAGCTCATGTGCCAGTAGGGATTCCTTGGTTTTGACCTTGAGCTCCTTTCCAACGATTCTGCTCCGCAACTTGTAGGCGGACCTGTCGCCTTTGTTGACATCTACCCAACGAACAGGTAGCACGGCTTTGTTGCGCTCCAAAGCCATAGAGCGAGGCACCTTGTCATAGAGCTCGATCTTATTGATCCAGTCCATCTCTTCCTGCCTCGCTTTGCGAACCAGTTCTGAAGGAAGCACCTCGCCACTGATGTCGTCGAAGTACTCCTGCACCTCCTCTTCCATCAGCTTCTCGGTCTCCGCATCAAACAAAGGTTCTGTCGGATCAGGACCACTCGCAAAAAGCTCCAAAGCACTGACATGATTGTCTGCCCTCATCTGCCGTTTGAGCCCCTCCAATGTCGCATCAACCAACTCCACTGGATAAGCTTCACATAGATGCGCCATGCCACCAACCAAAGGAATGTGTCGATGGATTGGGCCCCCACATCTATTTGTGCAGTACTGGTCCAACACCTCTGCAATCTCACGCGAATTGGTCACCCATTTGGTATTCTTGTAAACTTTGCCAGCACCAAGTTTCGGGGTCTTCAACTTCATGTTCCAAAAGCACATTGGCCCCGACACCGTGTAGACTCCATGCATGCGCTGGAGTTCAATCATCTCTTGAACATCCCATGAATCTGCACCTGCAGGATGCTCATGAAGAAAATAGCGGCCCCTCAACATCTGCTTGATGTAGAGATCCACACACTGCCGTAGATGTTGTTCACCTTCTTCTCGGCGAAGCTTTCTCACTGGGTTATCTTTGTACTCCTTGCTGAGGTTCTGAAGCAAGCTGAATGGATCACAACGAGGGGATCCAGTAAGAAGAACCGGGTCCTCCTTGTCGATCAACCAGTCCAACTCCAAACGGTCCTCTGACCTGTTCAAATCCCAGTATTCATCCTCCTTGCCCACAATCGGCTTCTTCGTGGCCAAATCCACAGCAAAGCCCGGAGCCAAGCCCAAAATGCCAGCTCTCAACGTGAATCTCGGCGGCGAGAAAACTTCTGCCACATCCACACTGCCAAGCTCTTTCCTCCTCATTGACAGCCTCCGCTCGCAATAGTCCAGCGAAGACAAAGACCTGCACTTCGATGGAGCCATCTCCACCGCTTCATAGGCTCCCCAGTCGATGCTCGAGATATCACCTCCAGCATCAGCTTGTCCATGAGGTTCAGGCGCCAAGACATCCTCAATGGAAACATCACCCGCCGAAATCACCGGCGGCACATCACTCGCAGCAGGCTGCAAAACAGTCTGAGCCTGATCTGTGGAGCCTGCCGCACCACCACTCTCCAACTCTTGCACTGGGGTCTCAGCCTCACGCTTGTATCTCATATGGCCATCTGTCTTCCATCTCTTCGGTGATCTCGGAGATCCTCCTTGACCTTCATCTTGTCTGCGCCCCAAAGTCTCTGCAGCACCCGGTTGAACTGCCGATGCCGCCGGCGCATCTTCAATGGCCAACCTCTCGCCCTCTGATGCGGGTTGAACCGCAACCTTTCTCTTCTTTGCCTCCTCTGCCTCATGCTCCAGCCTCACCTCAAGTCTGCTGGATACTCTCTCAAAGTGACGCTGAGTCCTGATCTTTCCATCCGACTCAGACAGTGACTGATAAACTCTGTCTCTGCACTGCTTGCTGTGGGCCACTGCGCGCTTCCTTTCTCTCAAGGCCTTGCATCCACGGCAATCCTCACTGTAACCAAACCTGTCGATGTCCTTCTTCTGAACATAGAACGCCCTCGCATCAGGCGTATCAGGTGCCGGAGGCGGCAACCTTGGAGCACGTTGACCACCTTCCAGCCTCTCTCCAACAGCTCTCTTCTTGACATCCCATGGAAGCCCGCCAAGCTCATCTAGCCCTTCTGACTTCCACCTCAAATCTTCTCCAAGCCTTCTCACAGCAGCACCAACACGCAGGCCATCTGGAGTAAGTCCAAGAATTGCACCGGAACGTGAATGATGCCCAACATAGCGGACTTCAATCATCCGCTGCTCCCAATCTCTCTTCGGCTTGCCGTCCTTCTCCACCGCTTCTCGCATGTAGGTGACCTCACCAAACTCCAATGCCGGTCTGCTCCACTTCCGGCCAAACTCTTTCTCATATGGTGTCTTGCCCGTCGCATCTCGACGGTAGCAGTTGATGGCATGAGCTGCAAAAGGTGCCATCCACGCCAGCAAAGGACTCGTGTTTGAGATCTTGCCCTTCAACTTCTGCTCCAAAGAAATCCTAATGGACCTCATCTGACGCTTGATTTCTCGCACTGCCACCTCAGCATTGCCATTGGCACGATGATCACCCACTGGAGCCGTGCGATGGACCACCTCGACATTGCGAAGCTTCACCGCCGCATCCTGCTTGAGTTTGACCAGCGCCGGCTCATTGTCAGACATGAAGACCACCCTCTTGTGCCCAGTCTCCTCAACAAACCTTGCAATGGCCTTCTGCACATACTCGTTGGAAGTCTTCGACTCCAAAGCAATGGCCTGAAGTCTCCCAGACATCCCGCTCTTCAACGCCAAAAATGGTGCTGAGTCTTCCTCAGTTGACATGTAGAAGAAGTCAGCATGGATAGTGGGCCCACGCTCCTCCTTCTCTGCCTCCGTCCGAGCTCGATGCTTAGAGCCCGTTGCACGACCTTCAACACAGGCCGGGCACCAGCTGCGATAAACCGCATGGTTCTCCAGGGCATGCTCCTCAATCTGTCTTCTGCTCGGACGATCTGCCTTGTCTGATTTGACAACACCCCTGGAGTCAATGGGCGGAGGCACAAACCACAGCTCAGTCACCATCTTCTTGCACCACGGCTCAAAATGAGCGTGTGGATTGAATTCAGGAGAAAGCGTAGACTCTTCTCGCAAGACCTCATCGGTCTCTTCATCTATGCTCCTCCTCCAAACTACATCAGCCCAATCGGGCCCATCTTGAGACGTGGCCCGAAATGTGAAACAATCTCTGTCTGTCCTCTTCCAACACTGAACATCCTCAGGCAACCCTGGTGGCGGCCCTCTGCTGCTTGGCTCATATGCTTGCCAATGTGGCTGAATTGGATCCAGCCCCTGTCTCATCATCTCCCATCCTCTCCAAGCAACAGGACCTCCAGGCCCACCACCAACCTCATCTGGGCTCGGCCTTACGGGTATCCCTGCCGGCTGTTTGCCGACGAGGAGTCACTGCCACTGTCAATGGCACAAATCTCAGACATCTTGCCCCGCTTCTGCACATAGAAGTTGTAGAGGTTGCCTTCCTTGTAGAGGGGGATCACCTGCTGGTCGCTGAACTGCCTTGTGATCCTCTTGTAATGGTTGCGCATCTCAGTGGCCAAAGCTCCATTGCGAGGAAGAAGAATGCCACCATCCTTCCAAAGGTAGGCGTCATGATTCTTGCTGAACTCTCCAGCCGACCCAAGAGGCTTGTGAACATGGGTCACCGTTGCACTTATCCCACGCCTGTTGCCACGCTCATCCATCACAGGCATCCTGATCTTCCCATAGCGCGGGATCTTCTCTCCATTGGCCACCTTGAAGTCACCGATGCGGTGGAGCTTGAGATCATCCTCCACCATCTCAACTGGGATGACTGTTGTCACCGCACCACTGTCGTAGTTCACCTTGATCCACTCCTCACCGTCATACTCCACCAAGTAGTCAGGCTTGCGGCCCTCAATCTCAACCTCCATGCTGTCGTCTTGGCTCGTGTCGGATCCACCAACCATGCAAACTTCACCGCAATGATCACAAGCACATAGATCCAAATAGCCCAAGTCCTTGCCACATTCAGGTTCTGCTCCAGGTTCACGATAAGTCGTATTGGGCACCGCTTCCAAGGAAGAAGCATTGTTCGAACCCCCATAGCCCTTGCCTTTGCCAGAGTTCTTCGACTTGCCCTTGCCGTCGTTCTTGGACTTGTTCTTGCCTTTGCCCTTGTTGTCAGCTCGATGACGGCAATCTTTACCATAATGGCCATATCCATGACAAACCCAACACTGAACATTGTCCATGCGCTTGCCCTGAGAAGCTCCTCCTCCCTTGCCATAACCTTTGCCTCCACTGCGACAATCGGCTGCACGATGTCCAGGTCGCCCACACTTGTAGCAGGTGATGTTCTTGCCTCCTTTGCCCTTGGACTTCGAGACTGCATTCAACGCCCCAATGTCCATAGCGTTGTCATCCTTCTTCTTTCCACCTCCACTGCTAGACCCAAGCTCTCGTCTGGAGATGTGCAAGCTGTGCTTCGTAGATGCAAAGCTGGACAACCTGTCAAAGAGCTCCTCATAGGTGGTGAACTCATCTTGTCGAAGCATCAGGCTCTCCTCCAAAGACTGGGGCATCAGCTGATGCATTGCTGCCAGAAGCGAATCATCGCTCACACGGCAGGGTCGGCCATCGTTGTCTGTAAACTCCTCATATTGTCTCTTCTTGGCCAACCAATCCTCTAAAGCTCCTCCCAATTCCTCCACGCTCTTACACTTGGGAGGATTCTGCACCATGCCAAGCACCGCAACCCTTCGGACTGAAGACGTCGGGTCATATTCAGCATGAACTCGACGCCAAGCCTCCAGCCCATCCGTTCCAGAGTTACGGACAACCTTGTTGGCCTCCCCTGTTGTGAAAGAGACCAGGTAAGCGTAGATGCCTTCCACCATTTTGTCTACTCCTTCAACTTGGTCAAGAGCATCTGCTGAATCCCCAAAGACAGGATCCCATGAAGAGGTCCTCGATGAGCCATCCGTGTAGCGCATGATCACCTTCCTCTGCTTTGTTGCCCATTGCAAAACTGTATCCACATCAGCTCTGAATTTGGCTCGCAAGAAAGTTCTCATCTTGTGATCCCACTCTGAAAAATCCTGATCCACCTTGCCGCTGAATTTGAAGGGCTGTCCAACTCCACGAGCATCAACCAGCTCCTCACTTCTACTCAAAGCCTTCAACGCCAGATGGCGCTCCTCCTCAGCTCTCAACGTCCTCGCATTGGACTCAGCCAGCTTCGCCATGACATCCTGCATTTGAGCCTGTTGCTGAAGAAGCATGTCTTGTTGAACCTGCATTTGGGCTTGCATCTGTATCAGGACTTGCTCTTGTGTCAGCCCCGCAGCAGCGCCTGCTTGAACCGCCGCTGCCGCTGCTTGTTGAGGACTCGTAGGGCTCCCAACTCCTCCATCTGGAACACCGCTCATCTCGATCACACCAATCCCAACGGCAATGATCGAAACCAAGACAAGGAAGATCCTATGGGCCCAAGTCAAACACAGGAATGTCCAGGTAGGTCTGAAGCGCTCTGCAAAGACCAGCCGCTGATCAGCCACAGCGGCACGGGCTATGGGTCCCCTGGGTCGTATGGGACTTACGCTACCATGACGATTCAAAGTGCTACTATTTCTCCTCTGGGCCATCATTCTCGGAGTATGTAGGATGCTGATTTCAACAATATGTATATCATTATATATATATATATTTATATATATATGTATCATTATATATATATCATATACATAATGTGTGTATCTGTCTATGCTATATACGCATACAACTTTAAATAACCATGAAACATGCAATGGATGATCATGGATGCACGAACCAGAAATGATGGTTAGTTTTAGTTTCACTGCCTGGTTTGATGAGGATCGTTGTTGAAAAAACTGGCAATTCTACCCACAGGATGAGTCCATGAGTCCCCCTTTTTTAATTGATTAATTACAGTACCCAATTAAACCATAGAATAGATACCTAGCACCACCTTTCGGGCTAAAATTAAAGCCTTTTCCTAAAAGGATCCTTTTAGATCCTCGGGCTGAAAATTAAACCTCGGGCGGATTTTGCCATTCAGTCAGATTTTGCCATTTTGACCAGGGCAGGCTCAAGGATTATTTCCATTGTTTTTTTGATTTTGAGAGACGATAGTCGGGCGGATTTACCCACTATTCGGGCGGATTCTCCCACTATTCAGGCGGATTTTCCCAAACTGCATGCTTTTGATGTTTCTTGAATGAAGCTCCCTCGTAGTTAAAACACCATACTCAAAAAGGCTTCAGGCGGATTTTTGGGACTCCGGCGGATTTTAAGAACTCGGGCAGAAAAACAGCCTTTTTGAGCTCGGGCTGAAATTTAAGTCTGAGGAGGCCCTAGGTATATCATATATCTGCCATAACCTTCCTTTCTTGCCCAAAAACACCCCTTTTTTTACCAGCAGGAACCTATCACAAATATCACCATCCAATCATTTTTACTGTCTTAAACTGTGGCTTAAAAAAACACTTAGTTTTACCATGTTTTCCTATGAAAATCACCATGTTGTCGTGGTGTTTTTTTTTTGTTCGCGCCGTGGCTGTCTGGGAGGTCGTGGTCTGGGTGGTCGTGGTCGTGGTGATGCAGCAGGGCTCCGCACACATGTCCTTGCAGTCCGACGAGATGGTCCCCACACCTGGCCCCAGGGCCCCGCCATGGGGGAAACTTTGGTTAGTGCTTAGTAGTGGTGAATATAAGGGGGACTGACCTCAGGATGCTGATTTATATGCATATGGATTATACATGGATTATATAGTGGTTAATAGATGTTAATAGTGATTAGTAGTAATTAGTAGTGGTTTATAGGGTATAAACCAACAACAATGGGAATGCGATAGGGATATACCAACAAGTTGGACCAACAATACAGAATGGGAGCCCCGTTGGATAGCGTTCAGTTGCCTAAAAAAAGTGGCTGACTTCTATGGTTTATGGTAGATAGAACTATAGTATTCATGGGGCTTATAAACCAACGACTTACCCTCTGGTAAACTAACATAACTATGGAAAATCACCATTTTCAATGGGTAAATCCACTATAATTGGGCCATTTTCAATAGCTATGTTAGTCATTACCAGAGGGTATAACTGGGGGGCACCATCTTGCATGGTTTCTGAAGAATCATGATCTATGGGTGAAGTTTCTACATCTACATTAGGAAATACTGGAGGGTCTGGAGGGTCTGATTTCTAAGCTACTTCTCTAAACCAACTGTTATACGTAGCCATTGTTTAGTTAGTATAGATATATAACTACCCAGTGGCCAAAATGAGCCTGAGAAACTGTAGTTCACTGCAGACATATTGTATACGACTGAGCTATTTAAGAACTAGGTAGCGAAGCCTGGCACCGGATGAAGAGAGTCTTCCCATTAAAAATGGTGATGTTTCATAGTTATGTTAGTTTACCAGAGGGTAAATCTACTGGAAAATAACCCAGTGGTTTGCACATCCGAAATCCGGTGGTTGATCCACCATGAGCTGAGCTTCGATTTTCTGGGGTAAACCTGGTTTTCTGAAACGATGATCTCTTAAGCGTGTTTTTCTCGGGGAGTTTGAAGACTGTGGGGACTCTGGACAAAGAGAGTCATTGAAGAATGGCTGTGTTTGAGAATGGTTTGCATATGTTTGCATACCCACAACATGACAATCACAACTGACAATTGATTTTTTTTGAATGGTCCATGAATGACGATAAACCATGGGATGGAACTATGGAACAAGCCCATAATTATAGCACACATATCAAATATCTACATCCTTACATCCTGGTGGAGCATCAGCATGGCATTTCCTGTAGTGGATCTAGCTGCGGGTTACGAGGGCCTGGATTCCTCGCGAGCATCAGCATCAAATTGGGTCTGAAAAATGTGGGGAAAACTCCCTTCCATACCATGGCTAATCAATCTTAGTCATCATGGTCCCTATGAAATTGCATTTGTTGGGGTGAATCCGAACCATTTTAGACTAGCAACTTGCAGTACAAACCATGGACATCCATGGACCCCCGTTCTACATAAACGTTTACCCTAGGCTATTCAATCATTTCAGACAATTTAAGCCAAAAAAAACAGTGTTTGTTGCTTGAACTGGTCTTGGAATCCGCTCTTCTTTCCAACCACTAATCCATCTTAATCCATATCATTAAGATAGTTCAATGATATCCATCTTAATCCATCTTAATCCATCTATGGTTTCCAACCACTAATATAATAGTTCAATCATTTGACACCATATCATTCCTACTGCTGATGGTTTGAGTTCCAACTTCTCTTGGTTCCAAGTGTAGGTTGGAACACTCTCAGTACCTCGTTGGCTCCCCATGGCTGTTAGTTAATCAAATACTAGTCTCCTAACCGTACTAACTACTAACTATATCATATATATATATAGTAATTGTGATAGTTACTTATAATAACGTTAACATTATAATATTATAAATATATATATATAAATCATAGTCACTAAATTACAATAGATAAATATATAGCGAATATTAGGATACCAATAGCTCAGCTCACCGTTCCGGGATAGCCATCCGATGGCGCCGCCTCCATCTTGGTCGCCGCAAATCAAGCCGGCGATGGCCAGACTTTCACATGAGATGGAAAAACCTGCCAGAAATGACGCAAAAAAAACGGTGCCATAAAAAGCCCATGATGTGGCAGGCAAACTCTCCGGAAAACGCTGGATAAAAAGCCAATAGATAGGAATAGCAAATTTTGTTGACTAGCGACCCCAAATAGGAATATGCTGTGACAGCATACGGGATATGGATATACTATGTGAATGAGACGGTCAATCATCAAACTACGGAGTCATGCATGATTTATACAAAAAATATCATAAAATGGGATACAATGGGTTGACATGGGAATATCATATTATGAGAATGCCAAACAACAATGATCAAACTTTGCGATATCGGAATGTTATGGGTATTTTTGGGGGCTACTCAACTGTGATCTGTACCCAGTATGGGTTTCTCTCGACATGGGCGATACAAAGAAAACACCATGTTTTGCTCTACCATTCAACCCATAGTCCGCACAAATCGGGTTCACAAGTTTGTCACCTGGAAATTGTCAAGCAAATATTATCTATACAAATAGTGACCCTAAATATATAGAACTAGTGAATGGGGATTATAAACCAACAGACGTAGCTTGGGGGCACTTACTTGTAACATCCTAGGAAAACTGGTCTATCCTTTCTCGGGATCGCGATTGTCAAATTTAGAAGTAGACAGCAGAATCATGAATTGCAAAGGAGTCACAGACTACAAGTGGGGTGATCACTTCAAGGTGAAATGTGAAAATGTCACTGTCCAAAAGCAAGAATCTTTGTCTGGACCTTAGCAGTCGTGAATGAGACCGCCACATGATCGACAGTAGCCAGAATGATTGGTGAATTTTCAAATCTAAAAACCGCGGTCTGTGTCTGGTGGCTGTGATCCAAAAACCCACAAAAATGGGAAGACCATTAACCCACAAGCAGCACACAACATCTGGGTAAATTTAAAAAAATCACTCACCTGAATCTTGCGGCCATAAAAGGGGATGATTTCCCTATAAAAACCATGATTCCAGGGCTCGGGAGAACGACGTGAGGTCGGGATGACATTTACCCAAATCCAGAGGATCGAAAAAACACCATGGTTTTGTCGGTGAAAAACATGTGAAATCTCAATTGTCCCCATGTGTCCCATGTCAAAAAAATACATGAAACTCCCCAAATTAATGAAGTTTGATAAGTTTAAGTTATTGTGGTTTTAAAACACATCAAAGCATGTATTTTCATATATTTTCATGTATTTTCATGTTTTTTTCCCCAAGTTCCTTCATGGATTTTTTGGGAACCTACCATGGACATCCATGGACCTGCACAGGTGCCGTTCCAGCGGTACTCAGAGCATCCTGTCAGGGGTTTTTGTCCAGCAACGGATGGCCATTCTCTGTGAATTTCCATGGTTCTTCCATGGGAAAATCATCGATACATAAGATAAATATAGATGAATAGCCATAAATAGCCGGCGTTTCATGGTTTTTTTCGTGATTTTGCCACATTTTTTCGTAGAAATTCACGGGAAGGTAGTATACTTACAGTAGATGTTCATATTTCAGGTAGCGATTTGTGATTAGAAAGTGGTGTATATCCCGATGCCTCCGCGGTCAGGGTTATAAGTTATAACCCACCTGCGAAGCAGTTTGAAAATTCTGGCAACATCCAAAATGATTTGCATATGTATCTTGTCGGATATTTGGGAATGTCTGGGAACCACAGATTCAAGTCATTGTATAGTGAGCTATTCGATGCTATTTGGTTTTCATGTCTATCTACTTGTGCCAATGAAAGAAAGCCTTCGAAACAGGACAATTATCGACAGTAGAAACATCTCAAGATAGTATTTATCCGCCGGTCGAAACAATTCCAGATTTTTTAAAAAAACAAAAACTGTGGTTCCTAACAGTACGTGTTCAGTTAGTTTGTTCATGGTGGAAAAGGGTTCACCCCAAACATAATCCACAAAAAACATCAAAAAACTAATATAGTGTGTAACCACTTGTTTGTGACAAGTGACTAGTTTGGAATCATGGGGACTTCACCAGTATTTCATGGCATAACGCGTGTTTCCAGCTCAAAAATTGATTCAAAGTTCTTCGAAATCCACATCTTCTTGTTGGCTTGCAAGGAAATAAATACCATATTGAACACTTCTACTTTTTATTTTCAAAATGTAGTTTGCTGAAAATCCGGCCATCGGCCGTGGCCCTGGCCAGGCGGCCCCTTGCCTTCGACCCCTGAGACGGACCTCCGCAACATGGCCCCAACATGGTCCAAGCTGGACCTACATGGCCCCAACATGTCCCCAAACATGGTACGAGTACTATGCTATGTGCCGACCCCTGCCACCCCGGTATTTTACAGTGTTTTCTGGCGTCTCGCTTTTGCGAACATACTGCCCTTACATCTCCCTGGCATATGCTCCATATGACCCCCACCTCGCCCAGCATGGCCCCAACCTGTCCCCAAAATGGCGGCCAGCTGTCAGGCAGCCTTTCAATCCACCCCAAACTCCCCCCAAAATCTACCCATCCGTCCATCAGGTCTCGTCATGGCCGAAGACAGCGGCAGCGCCAGGAGCGCCACCAGGACACGGCGCAGGGCCGGCGCCATGGCCGCAGGACCCCCGCGCATGAGCCGAGAGGTGAGCCTCGGGAGAAACCGTTGGAAGCTGCCGACAGTTTCAAGAAACATGACATATCAATGGAAACCTAAGAAACATGGTCTTCTCAATGGAAAAATCACAGAAGAAGAAACATCGTGGATCATTATATCATATTATATCAAAAGAAACATGACAAAAACTAGAACGAATGGTTCATTTTAAATGAGAAAAAATTAAACAAATAAGAAAAAATGGATTGTGAGTTTAGGGAAAGAGACAAAAAAGGTCCTGGTTGAAGAGAACATGCGGTTTTGATCAAGCAGATATGGGGATCTAAAATGATCTAAGCAAGGTTCGGAACCTTGGCTCAGATAGGAATTTCAAGTGTGTTGACGACGGAGAAACAGTACATCGACTTTTTCAAGCGAGAGCAAACGCTCCTGCTTGTATGGCCTATTAGGTTCAATTTGCTTTCAAGTAGAGCCTGTGGGGCTCTACATTCTGATCTCCCCCAAACCCCCAGATGATCCCCTCTGGTAACTTGTTGCAGTGCGCCACTGCGAAAGCCGGGCCCATTTTCTTCATGATTCAAGATGTTGATTCTCCAAAGCTAACTCTTAGATGGTAACCCAATGAGTCTACCCGGGTGCATTCTTCATTTTGAAAGGATGTTAAATACTACAAACCATCCAGCTATCCAGCCATTGGGGGCACAGTGAAACCACTGTTTACGAACCTACTGCAATAAGAACTTCAGGGGCTGGATTGCTGGATTCAGCCCTTCCTGTCACCCAATTGAAATAAGAACCCTAGGGTACCCTGGAATTCTAGCCACTGGCTCTTATTCCCCTTTAACGGGTATCAAGTACCAAACGTTGATTATTATTGATCTATGAAAGCAGGAAGGAAGCACGCAAGAAGTAAGCAAATCGCTACCGCCACAGCGACTCGAACCCCGATACGGCTAGCAAGTCTGAACGCAAGAGCCTGAGCCTCACACCGGCCGGGCACACTACAGGCCATCTGACTTCAAAAGCTGCCCTTGGCTTGTCTTTGGTTTGCTGTGCTGCCTTGTTTCGGGCCGCTAATTAAAAAACCTTTTGGGCGCCTCAATTTGTTTCTTCCCCCCTCCTTTGCAACCTAATACCACGCCAAAATCAACTTTCAAGCCCTAGCATGGTGGAATATCTGGCCTATAGCTCTGTTTGGAATGCTTGCACCTGAAAAAACTTTGCGGTACCTAAAAAGTTTGTTCTTCCTCCCGCCTTCTTTGCAAGCTAATACCACCCAAAATCAAGCCCTGGAATGGTGGAATATCTGGCCTATAGCTCTGTTTGGAATGCCTGCGCCTGAAGAAACTTTTCGGGACCTAAAAAGTTGTTTCTTCCTCCCGCCTTCTTTGCAACCTATTACCACGCCAAAATCAAGCCCTGGCATGGTGGAATATCTGGCCTATAGCTCTGTTTGGAATGCCTGCACATGAAAAAAAAATTCGGGACCTACAAAGTTGTTTTCTTCCCCCTGCCTCCTTTGCAACCTAATACCACGCCAAAATCAAGCCCTGGCATGGTCTATTTGGAATGCCTGCACATGAAAAAACTTGTCGGAACCACCCTGGTGCATAATTCCCATATTTTCCACCTATATCACTTAAGAAGCCCAGGGTAGGCTGGAAAAGTCGTAATCGGTTCTGATCTAACGGTTCCGCTGTACCACCCCTTTTACGGAAACCCAAAAATATATCCACAGTATTGCTGGTTGTATAGCCACATAGCCACTCTACCATCTCCTTGGACGACAACTTGGCGACGCCTTGCTCACCAGTCGTTCTCGACCTGGTGATGCAGCGATTTCATGATTTTCATGGGGATTGAAGTTGGTGATTTAATAGGAATATATATATATATATATGGATTAACTGGTGATTTAATGATGATTTTCATGATTTAATGATGATTTATATGGATTAAATATCTGTTATCTAATGCTAAAATGGGATTCAATGAGATTCCGTTAGCTCAAGTTGACAATTTCACAGTATTTCACAGTATTTCACTATGTCAGGTTTCTGGTGACATGTGTTGACTGGAAGCACCCTGGAACTCAGCAAAAGTTCAGCCTCATAGAAGCAGAATTTTATTCTAACACGGGCCCGTTGACGAATTCGCTAAGTGGTGGGCGGGTTTATAACTTCAATTTCAATATGGTTTATGGATGTCTATGGATGTTTGTGGTACTTTAACTATACTATTCATGAGGTTTATAAACCAACTTGTAACTATAGAGGGGGCCACATTGTATGATATACGTATTGCTCAGAAAAGATGCTGTATCTTGTGGAATGATGGCACCCAAGGATGTCTTCATCCTCATCGTGGAATTTGTGGTCGATCATGTTCCAACGAGATGTTACACTTGTTCTGGAAAGGTTCATATTGAGTCTGATTGACTTATTCATCATGGCTGGAAATGTCTTCTGGTCAACCAAAATCAATAATTAATCTGTCCATGAGTAAGTTCTTACTTATCCAACCATATATGGCCCACTATAAACATTGGTTCCACTACACCATCTAAAATATAAGTTTCACAATGAACCAATTGAACCCAAAAGATGAATGCTTTTCACGGGATTGTGCAGCTTTGGGGTTCAAGAATCACAAAAATCAACTACCAATGTCCTAGGGAAATTCTGTGCTCCAACTGGCTCCCCATTATGGAGCTACGGATACCGCTCCGAGCCGCTTCTTCCTCACCCCGATACCTGGGGGCCCTGGGGGCTTCGTGTTTCGAGATCCTTGGTGCCCCAACTGCCCGGCTGTGTCACTCTCGAGGCCTGCCGCTGCTTCATGACATGATCATACACAATGTATCCTGCATCAAAAGCCTTGGGAGTGAAGCAATCAGAAAAGGTGAAATGATCCAAAGAGGGTGATTCATCCCACAATCAAAAGGAAATATTTGCTGGAGTAGGATTCTGAGAAAACGGTTCTCAGAAATAATCCAGAGAAGGATCAGTTTTGTACCCAACAGTTCAACATTGCAGAAAAAGACGGCCAGTTTCAATCCAGTTTCCACCTCCTCACCATTTTTTTTGTCATTGGCGATGGTTTTGTTCACCAAAAAAAACTTCAAAAGTTCACCCAAGATCTCAGAAAGTCGATTTTTGTCTTATTTCCCAAGGGTTTTCCCATAGGTTTTCCCATGGTTTTCCACATAGAACATGTAGGATGTCGACGTAGGCTTTCATGGCGCCAGCCCCATCGAATCCAGCGACGCTTTCCCCAGCGACGCCCCAGGCCTCGGCACCAAAGAATTGCTCAAAGACCTGTTGCCATGGCACCTGACAAGTCGTCGTCGAACAGAATGGTGAGTTGTGTCCCAGGACAAGTCGTCCCATTCCAAACATCCGAAAAGATAAGATTGGGGTCCCAGAAACTGGGTCCCAGATCTGATTTTTCGGAGATCCGAAATGATCCGAAATGATCCGAAATCCACTGTTGTTGATCATATCCCATGACGGATCCATGGTGCTGCTATATATATGGTAACATGGATCCCATCAATATACCCCAGTCATGTTAGCATATATACCATACATATACCAGCACCATGGATCCTATGGGTATGATGAACCCATTTTTTCACATATTAACATTATATGAACCCTATAGCAATATAGCCATTTCTTGGGGGGTACATGCCACTTTCCAGACACATCATGCCAGGTACAAGGCCAATGTCCTGCCTGACCGGCACCACTTGGGACAGCCGCGACAGCAGGTCGCCCACTCGCCTGTTTTCCGAACATGGCGACATGTGTTCCACAGGATGGTGCCGGCCAAACTGATATCTCAACTTACTTGCTGGCTCATCCCACTTAGTAAGTGGGTTATAACCCCAGTTATAATTGGATTAACCCTACTTATCCCATTTATAACTGGGGTTATAACCCACTTACTAAGTGGGATGAGCCACCAAGTAGATCCTCTGAAAAAGAACGGCTTTTCAGTTGGATATTCATCTGTGCCACATTGTTGAACCGTTTCTGGGGAAGAACGCATCCATTATCCTGCCAAACCAAGGCATATGTTTTTTCACATGGGGCACCGACCAAAAGATGGAGGAAAGCGCGTTCTTTAGCTCTTGAAGAACCAGAAACTCTAAAAGAACCTGCAACCACCCAATTTTCAATCGAATTTAAGAACAAATATTCCAAACATTGGTTCAATGTTACTCTTTTAGATTGGTTCACTGGAGGATTTGTACATCTGGAATCAAAAAAGTCCATGTAACCTTTTTGCAGGGGAAAACACCACTTGCATTTGGATACTTTTTTTAACTTACATCAACTTTCCTCTCCAAAAGTGTCCAACCTCCACTTCAATTCTATTATGTATACTTGGTGGCTCATCCCACTTAGTAAGTGGGTTATAACCCCAGTTATAAACGGGATAAGTAGGGTTAATCCACTTTTAACTGGGGTTATAACCCACTTACTAAGTGGGATGAGCCACCAAGTATATACATCAATGATGTTTTAAAGATTCTGGAACATCTCCTGGCCGAAGTGTTTCATGATTCATTAAATTTCCCAAACACCTGCATGGCCGCTACAGGAGTTTCACCAAAGTGTTTTGGCAGGTTGAAATCTGTTGGGATACCATTGGATACCATGGGTTTTCTATATGTTCCTGGAGGGTCATAGAGTCATATCCATAGAATTTCCCGATGTTTGATGTTCTTTTTTGGCGGTAAAGCATGAGGATATCATAGGGGATATTGTCCATATCAATATATATATATATATATGTGCGGCTGTCTAAACTCCTTGTCTGGCGAATAGACATCAACATAATTTGGAAAGGTCCCATCGCTAACCACAGTTTCGTAGCAATTTTACCATCATTGGGCAATATTGATTGACAAGGGGTATCGCTAAGGCTAAACACTGCTCAAGTAGATGTGACATTGTATTTGTAGTACTATTCATACTTGTATGTACTAC